CCATTCCTCTCTGTACCCCTCCCAAATTAGGTAAATTAAAATCGACAGGCTTGGGATAAAAAAAATAGCAACCATCTAACACTTTCAATTCCTTTTACACCCTCCTTACAAAGCCTTTATCTTCATCCTCTCACTGTCCTCTCCCTTGGAGCAGATTGTAAGAGTTATACCACATACTACTCTACTTTAGATGCAGCATTTTGATATGTTGCATTGAAAATAAAGAATGCAACAGCAGGAACATATGTGCATTACATAATTATGGGAACATGCACCCTAAATAAATGTTGGCATAGAGGGAAATGAATGAACAAGTAATTCCAAGAGCCTAACCTTTTAAACTGTATCAAAATCCAGCGGAAACAGAAGAAATAATTCAAGCAATCATTCTGCTTGAAATAGTTATGCAATGGGATGTCTAGCAACTCCACCAGCTGCGAAAAAGTAGAGGTACTGTTCAAAGTCAGAGACCAAAAATCTGTTCATGAATTATTAATTTACTTTTGTTAGAAAAATAAAGTCATGATACCCTTTTAATCTTCTTTAGGTTGTTTCCTTCCCAGGAACACAACCAAGGACTGAACCCCAAAAATCTCCAAGAAAATACATAAGTTAGATGACATTGCATATAGATGCTACAACATTTAACTTTATTCAAGGACACGAGAGACCAACAGTGACAATGTTATATCTTGTTTCAAAGTTATAGTTGGTAACTGAAGCAAAGAATCGGGAATCATGATACTCTACTCATTGTAAGAATGATCTATGAAACATAACTTTTGAAGCCTGCTATCTCATCATGTAAAGTCTCCTAAGAAGCTACACCACTAATCTTGGTTCACAGTTCAAAGTTTGACAAACTTGACTAATACTATTGCTTTTTAATGCACACTAACAGAGGCTGAAATTTCAAGGAGTGATACAAAGGGAAGAAGAATCAATAAACTGATCACAAAAAAGATCTTAAATGAAGACATGCCAGAGTTCTCTGACTATTTTACACATGAAGTTTAGTCCTAATTATAGAGAAATTGATGTCTGAAGAATGCAACAAAAATACTACTGCCCTTTACTCTCTACAGAGAGAAAAAAATAACCCCACACCAAAGAAAAATAGGGCAGGAGGAGGGAGAACAGAATATGAGATTACCTTTAAGTGTTGATTATCCACATTTTAACAAAAGAAAAAAACCAAAAGACATCTGCCATTTTAATGAATAACATGACTCCAGGAATTTGCAAGAGAGAGAGAGAGAGGAAGCAAGACCTTAGATAATGCAAAGAGCTGAGTGTGCATGCCATTTTGGTCACGATTAAAATTGGGCCCAAGTCGTTCCATCAGTGCCACAAAACACCAAAATGATTCTGACTCCTCCTCCATTACAAACAAAATAGGGGAGAGAAGATCACTCATACCCTATAAGAAGGGGGAAAAAAAAAAAAGAGATGAAGCACACAGCAATATAGAACATTAGTGCCACAACTGATAGAAGCTCTGGGGAAACTCATAACATAGACCCATTAAATTATGCTCAACTTCAACGTAGTTTTTGAAAATAATGCCTGCTTGAATGCACTAAAACTATATTCATACGAGAAAAGCTGTTTCAAATTTATTCATTAATTAATGCTCTCAAAGTATGTGACATATGATGTGTTCAGCCTTCCTGGTTGCTTATAAGATTTTTTATGTCATATTTGTACAATTCTATGTCACCTGCATGCTGACAGCTCATTGCCAGATGGTATGACAAATATTGTATGAAATGACCAAATGAATTGTATTGCCACCAATCCAGTCATTTATTAAGCAGGTATTACCATTTAGACCAGACTGATTCCAGCATTTCTACATACTCCCATGCACATCCAATATAAGCACTTCATTCTTGTTGCATTTCCAAAACACTTGAGATTCTTTTCATTCTTAACTAAAAGAACAACATCACAATTGTAACTCAGCATAACTATAAAATTAACTTTTTTGCTACACAACCAACAGATCAAAAACCACGGCATATCAGAAGTCATTACCTGACAGTAACCAAGATCAAAGTTGTAGAAAGAGTAGGTCAACAGAATATCACGTAAAAGATTCACATTTGGATTGTCATCCCCCTCATAGAAAGAGAGCGATCTGTCAGTCCTTACCTTAAACCAACAACAACAACCAGGTTGCAATGAACTCAGAATGGTGCCATCACACTTTTCAAGAATAAGATAATATATGAAACTCCAAGTGAAACATGTGATGGTTTCATACATACCACATCTTTATCTATAAGGCCTTTCCTCTCTCTGAACTTCGTAAATCTTTTTGCCTGTTCAGGAGAAATACTCTGCCATAAAAATTCATCGAACAAGTGTTAAGCCTCATATAAAAACTAAGCTTTGCCAGTATTAAATAATACTTCTCTTAACAGTACAAACAGAATGACAATAGTTACAAGATGTCTAAGAACAATATTTATCCAAACACTCAATGGTTACAAGACTGCACTGCATCGTCTTTTTGACTTTACACTAGTCCGCATGTAAACCAGAATATGCATAAGATCAACAACATTATGCATTTGGGCTTTGAAAATCTGCAAAAAGATTGCATCACTAGGGTGGATTCATTTTGAAGTCATTGCTTTGCTCGAGCTCCCAATAAGCCATGAAAGCTGGCCTTACAAAGGTAATAAGGTTTGTCTTCTCAATTTGAAATTTGAAAAAATAAAATAAAATAAAATAAACTCACTTTACTGGTTGTCTTACTAGACTACAAAAAATCTTGAAGTATGTTAAATAGAACCAAATACACAGCTTATAAGAAAAAAAACAAATACGCACATTAACACACAGGCAAATCAAGCAAGCCCAAAGTAAACCAATGCCTGGCTCACAGAAATCAAAAGTGCAAATGGCTGAATTGATCCAATTCTAGTGAAAGGGTTAAATGGGGCAAGGCAAAATAGTGAAAATTTTCTACCAAATAAGGCCATTGTTATCAAGGACCTGCAAGATATTTCCACACCCTTACAAAGACAAAAGATTTTTAACAGTTTTGTTCCAACATCGAAATTTGCTAGCCCAAAGTTCCACCCTAAAGCTTTGCTTCATTCAGAGGCAGATCTTGGAGGCATGCAAGTTGTGCAACATGCCACATACCTCAAAGGCAACCAGCAATCTTAACACAAATGGCTTGTGAAAGAAACCTCCAAGCAAAACAAAAATCTTAGCTCCCCCTTCCCCACCTCCCATTCCCTGAAAAGGAACATGTGATGCACTATAAAGGCACCACAAAAAGGGGGGGAAACCTGCTTCCCAAAGAGGCCAAAACAACTCATGTCGTAGTAACACAAAAAGAAAAAGAAAGTATCTTGTCGATAAAAAACATCCAAACATGTCTTTGGTTTGGAAAAAAAAACATTACTCTTCTGAACCTCAAAATTTTGAGCTGCTGCCAAAGACTAAAGACCACTGAAACTAAAATTTGACACACTCTCATATATAATGTTGGGAAGGTGAGAGCACTACATGACAAAATAGACAACGATTTACTGCAAACCTGCCACTGGTTTTTTATAGTCTCATATTCTGTCTTTTTGATAGACCTTAGATATTCCCTCTCCGCATAGGTTGATTCGTATGTATGATATCCCAACAATATTGCCCAAACCTAAAAATCACAACCAAGATCTCTATGAATAAGATGCATTTTTAGTTTAAAAACAATCAATCCACTCAAAATTCCTTGCATGATACAAATACGAACCTCTCTTCGTAATTTGTGTTCAATTCCTCCATAAAATATTCTTTTCTTTAAAGCTTTTGAATCCACCACACGTCCTTCTGAATCCAAGAATGTGGCCCACTGAAATAAATAAATAAATTTCCAAAGAGCAATATAACACCAATCACATAACGAATTCGTAGTCCTTGGAAGAAAGCGTGTACAGCATGTAACAACTTCAAAGACATATTTATGAAAAGCTTTAACATAAAAATCAGGAAATTTTATTACTAATCTATTTCTTTTCTCATAGTAAGAGACCAGTGATGGAGACTGCCTAGTCTAGAGAGGCAAGGACATAAGGCAACTGGGGCCCATCAAGGAAGGATAGTTAAAAAGATAAGGAAATTAGATACAACACAGTAACAAAGTTTGAATCTGGCTCCTTACCTCTTCCAACCCCAATGGTGGCTGTCGGGGCTTTCCCCACACTAGTGATAGTTTGTCAAACTGCCAGAAAATGAAGAAAAAAACATATATCAATAGATATGCAAAATCTATCCCCAAAATATGAAACAATAATATGCCACAGTTATGGAATTTAGTGTTCAACCACACCAAGTATTGGGCCCTCCTGATATCATAATCAAATACACCAAAATAATGCATGTTTAGCATTAAGAGAGGAATCGATTTTTAAAACACACAGACTAGTGACAAAAAATTACATTTCTGTTCCATTCATAACAACTAGTCATGGGAGGGCTACATACAAATAGACAGACTAGTAGAATAAAATTTCTTTCAGCTTTCAGTTTTTTAATTTTATAAAAGTATCATCGCTTCTTGGCTAATTCATAAATATAATGAATTAATGTTTTTAATTTCCTTTGCAGCCCTGTAACACTTTTAAGATTGTCCAGCTTAGTCTACAAAACATTAAAAAAAAGACTCCTATCACAACAATTACATTGCAGATTTGTTTAACACAAAAATCACAAGATTTTAAGTACAGATACCTCCACTTGCATTTGTAAACCTTAGATTGGCACAAGGCCTTCTAATATCGACATCCTAATTTATGACTACTTTTCTGCAACTTATCAACAGGTCAATGCTGAAGGAAGAGAAAGAACTCAAAACAAACACCCGAGTCAATCCTATTCATCAAAAGGGGGGAAAGCCCATTACCAACACCAGCCATATTCCCAATGTTAACAACTATAGTCTATAGACTACACAGGGTTTCTCTATGTGCCCGGACCAAGACAAAAACCAATTTTCGCAACTAGTCAGTGAGTTTTTCCTGGCCAAACTGAGAACCTAATGTTCTTTTATCCATCATCTAAGGCCATGTAAAAATTTTTGTAATTCCATCTGTTAAAGATTGTTTATGGAAGCATCACATTGCAACACATTCGTCATCTGCTAATGCTTCATAAATCAATCTACCCCTGCTTCTGGCCACTTTTTCGACTCCCAACTTTATGTATCAAACTATAAAACGAATTGAATTTATGCAGTCTCATTCAGCAATCATAAGCCAGAAGATAAATTGGAACCTTAGCGGGTTGTAGCAGCAATCTGAAAGGATTATAAAGGAATGTGTTGCTAAATATCTATATTGAACTCATGATCACACTTGGAAATGTCAAAAGAAAAAGAAACAAACCCAGAAACTATAAAGAACTAAGGCTCCTTTCTATACCTCCTTAATATCGATTAGCTCAAATGTCCCCACATTGGTGGCAGCTTCATCATCATGATTGTGTTTCCTATATGGGGCTTTCTGTTTAACAATGGTAGAGGTTGGCATCAGGTGGTCCTGGTATAGAACTTGAAATCTTTCCAGCTAAAATAATGCAAGTAGCATGAATTGAATAAAGAACATAAAACTCTAAACTACGCTTAAATTAACAATAATACTTAATCTCTCCAAGTAATGTGGCAAGATGTACAGACATTCAAACCATCAAATTAATGTTCCAAGAGCGATCCACCACCTCAAGAATACACTCCATTCATCTCATTCTTTGTTTTTCATCACCAAATGGACCACTCCAGGTATCTTATTTACATTGCAAGAAAAAAGAGAGAATCTCTCCACTATCTCCAGAAAACTAATCATTAGCATAATTCCTATGGAGTAAGTAGTTGAATTGTTATCATTAAACACTTGCAAGATTCAAAAGTTTGAAAGAGGACACCATCCTGTATTATGAATATGGTTTTTCTTTCCTCACCCACTATGTTTAGCCATGACCCCCAAAAATGATGTTGATATTGGGTTTGAATTGATCCACATAGGATAAGACCTTCTACAAAAAGATATGTATTTGTATTGTTTTACCTTCCAATAAGAATGCATGAGCATCAAAAGTGTGTGGAAGAGTTTCTAGAGTTTAAACCCCCATCCGAAAACACAAACCTTTTGAAAATTTCACAAAATAGACAGCAATATATCTTGTGAAAACATTAACTGTGCGAATAATTGACAAAGGGTGCAGACAGCTACCTCAAGAGGATCTGGAGCAACAGGGCTTTTAAGAGGAACTTCCTCATCTTCGTCAACTTTATGATTATAATCAAGGACAGACTGGTTAGTGTTTCTCCTCTCAAAAGCATCAAAACCATTACTATGTGTCTCCCGGAATAGCTGCGATGTTGTTTCTCGGGCAAACTTGGTTACAAGAGAAAACTTCTCCAAAACATGAATTGATAAGTCTCGAGCAGGATCATGAACCTTTTGCCTCTGCCTTCCATTGTACCGAGATGTACTAGAATTTTCATCATGGACACCTACATCAGTCCTCTCTTCATTTTCACGTGAAGCAGACCCCCTAACTGAAACCGGTGTTGATGGCACACTTGCAATGGAAACTGCCCTGGGAAGCTCCAATGAAGACAAAGTTCTCTGCACAAGCAATTGGAAAATTCAGAATATATTAGCAACTCACTGACCATGTATGGTCAACAAAGTCAAACAAAACCAGACAACTCAAAGTAAATAAAATGACATTTAGTTCAACAAATCTAGTCAACCTTTGAAAACAATAAAATTTACAGTTTGCATTTTGAAAAAAATACAAAAAGCAGATAAGACAATGTTAGTTAGCACAATTACACTTAAGACTTGCATTTAAAATAATTAACCTTTGTAAAAGTAAGATATTTCGCAATTAAAGAATTCCTTATTTCCCCACTTTGGACATAAGATATGGGAAGCAGTTAATGAAAGAAATTTCTGTAACAAAAATAAACAAACAAGTAAACTAGCAGTACACAAACCTGCAGAGGATTTTCGAAGTCGTTCACAAGAAATACATTGGCATCTTCCGCTGACCTGAAAATAGATGAAAAACAACGACCTTAAAGAAATCTATATCAATGTTGTCAAAGGCACAAGGCACATTCTAGGCACTAGGACCCTTACCTCACCTGAGGCACAAGGCTCAAAAAAGCACTTGCCTGAGTAAAGTAAGGTGCTAATTTCTAAAAGGTATTTACAGGACAAAGAAAATTCTACATATCATGTCTAATAAGCTTAAAATATATGATTTTGCTAATAAACATTAAAGAGTTTACTCCATTACATTGCCTAATGTGTTCCAAAGATCAAGAATATAATAACAAATGTCATTAAACAATGCTCCAAGTCCTTCATTTCCATCCTCAACAAAAAGTTGTGTATCAATTCTATTATTTAATTTTCTAGTGCCTGATGAAAGGCGCCTCGCCCAAAGCAGTGCAAGCCTGCAAGGTGCTTTGCTTGATTTGCGCTGTGTCTTAGCACCTAGACACGTGCCTTGACAACACTGAACGATATATCTTTGTACTAAATTGTGAGCTCAAGACAGATGTAATACTAAGATATTGGAAATAAGAATATAATTGCAGTACAATACTAATTTTTTCCAGAGAATACTCCTGAATTAAGAAGATTTAGAAGTGGAAGAAGTAAGAAAATAGAAATATTTTATATCACTAGAATTCTTAGCATTAAAAACTCTTCTCTTGCATACGTGCAAGAAACTTTTCAATTTAAAAATGAAGCAAAGGCTTCATGGCACAAGTATTAATTAACTATGGCACATTTGACAAAAGAAAAAAATCATCATTATAGCAAATTCTTTATTAAAAATAATCAAGACTTATGGTGTAAAATGAAATAATACAAATGTCATATTTTGTTTTCCCAAATCTAGGAAAAATCCCACATAACGGGTTTCAAAAATCTATCAAAATCTCCTGAGATTTCTAAATGTGTCAATAGAAAAACAACAGTTAATCATACTAACACAGAAACAAATTCTAAATGAATAAATCAACAAAACTCCATAACCTCCCAAAAGAATTTTTTGCTTGATTCTGTGTGAAGAAAATCATTTATGGAAACTTTTACAATATATATATTGTTTGCCCTAGTAATTATATTCCTTTACACGTCTTACTCTACTCCCACTTGTTTTAATAGGTCAGCATATGGTAGGCAACACCAGGTTAATTCCAAGATTTTATTCTTGATCAAAATCCTGTAGCAAGTAACTGTTTAACTCAAATTATTAATTACACAAACTTAAAATGAACACAAACCAACCTCACAAGAAAAACGTGTTGTTTTACTGTAGCAAGGAACTCTCGAACTCCTCCGTTATAGAAGTATAGAGGAGGAAATGCAAGTCCTGCAAAACAATATTTTTTTCATAGAATGTAAGGCCAAGCATAGTTATGACGTACGACAGCAACAAAATGTAGAGATAAAAAATTTAAGTCAAATAATTCAAATAAATCCACGAGATTAACCCATTCACACCATATTCTAGCAATCATCAAAAGGATTGCAGATACTTGCACGTTGAACAAGTCAATTATTAAGTAGTTATTTGACGCATTCCACAAATGGCCCTAAATGTATAAATTAGTTTATTTTTTGTCCCACAGGGCCATGAAAGTTCTGATGAAGATCAACTGAACATCATATGTAGAAGATACAACTTCAAAAATCAAAAGCCATCATGCTCGACCTCTTAGAGTACAAGCAACAAAAGCAGTACAGTTTGTGGTTCCTTACCAGATGACAAAACAACAATCATGTACTGCCACCCAAGAGCTGGAGTGTGTCTTCGGATGGACCTCACATCAGCAAACGACACTGGCCTGATGGTATAAAGTTTCCTATCTGCATAATAAAGCCATGCAACAACAACTTTAGCAAATCATCTAGGCCAAATTGATAAGTTCATAATAGTACATTCAAATCACAAGTCTAACGCTTAAAAACCTTTCTCAGACAGCCTCGCATTTGTAGTTTGACCTTTGTATGGAATCCACGTCTACGATCAAAGACCACAATCAAACATGTAAATTATACATAGACAAAACATACAAAAATGATATTCACGCCAACACCATTTCACATCCTATTTGCGTCCCTCGATGCATATCCTATCCATGAATTGATAGGGCACACTAGGTTGTCGTCCAATAACTACTGGCCACATCAGATGGTACAAATAATTGGTATAAATGAGGTACGGTAAGTAGCATGATTAAAACAATATACGGCAAGTTGTTTAATGCTAAACATAATTAACAAAATTATCCATATATGTAAACATAATTAAATACAAGCGCCTAAGAATTAATCAATTACCATGAAGAGAGAAGAGCCTTGCTTAATTAACTTTAATCTGCCACTAATCCGCTCAGAGGCAAACTGAGTAGGATGAATTGTAACATTATCTTTCAGATAAACAATTTCGGCTCCCTCCGGTTCACTCGACGAGCTTCTTTTCCCACTGTCGCACCGCATCATACTAGCTGATCCCTACACCCCCAAAAAAAGAAAAAAAACTAAATTAAAACAACAAAACCATAATTAAATTCAATAAATCCGACATATATAACAATTAATTACGAGATCGATTCGCATAAAAAAAAGATTAAAAAAGCAATTCAATTAAATAAATATAAATAACGGAATAAAAAGAAATGAAAAGTGTTAAGTTGAATGTGATTTTCTTTTTTGGCTTACCTGTTGTTGAGACGCGGCGTAATCGGCATCGTCTGATAAATCGTGAAGCTCTGGTTCCTGCATCGTTTAGGGATTTTCCTTTTTTTTTTTTGTTTGGTTTTCGTTTTGAGTAGAGATTTTTAAGAGGGGATAGAGATGATTTTTTGTTTTATTTATTTCTTACCTTCGAGGCGAAGAAAAGAGAAAGCGGAGGAACCGAGCCGCGAGGAGAAGGCGTGGTGGGACCCGCGTGAACGAGATTTCTATACCTTGTAAACGGTTTCAGGGGAAAGCAGTTAGAACCGGACCGTTTTACATTACATCATATATATAAAGAATCAAATTTCCTTTTCTCATACTAGTAATTTTTATTACTTCGATAAAAAAATTATCTTTTTTCTTGAGAATTGAATTAAATTAAATTATTTTTCTCATAAAAATAGTAATTTTTACCTCAAAAACAAGTTAAATTATTTTTAACTAATGATGTGTTATGCATTAATTAAGGTCATTCCCTGCTTAAGTGAAGGATAAAACAATCAAAATAGAGTGCCTACTGTTGTTTTTGTATTAAAAAAATTGCCAATAAAAAATCAAGGATTAGAATTTATATGTGCACAAGTGGTATATGAGATAAATTCAAAACACTTTCCTAGTAATTAGGATTAGACAGACAGACAAAGAAAGAGCAATGAGTAGAAATTTGGATATCCCTCTACTTCAAGTAATGATTAAGAGAAACCGCATACTTTAGACAAAGTATTTATTTAGCGTGCCTAACTTTAGCTTTTTTAGCCGATAGATTTATTTGGTACATTTTTTAGCCAATAATCTGCGATTACTAATTGACACGTCCTACAAAGGGTTTTAAAATCTTTAAATTCCAAACAACTTCGAGAAAAAAATTTGATCAAAATATCCATCAAGTCTTGTATTCATATATTTTATTTTATTTAATCTTTGTATTAAAAATCAAAACTACTTAATCTCTTAATTAAAAATTACTTTAATTTAATCTCTCTTCCCCATTTAAGTTTACCATTAAAAGAAATGATGTCAATGTTGACATAGCATATGTTGATGATGTGGCAGTAATATGATGTAGTGGCATTAATATGATGATGTGGTATGTTATGTGACACCGACGTGATGACATGGCATGTCATGTGATACTAATATGATAGCGTGATAATGCTAACAGGGCACCGACATGTTGATGTGTAGATACCACGTGGCAAATAACAAATTTTTTTAAAAAAATTGTGCTATGTTATAGAAATTAAATTAAATAAAAATATATAATATAAGGGTTAAATTGAATAAAATTGAGATGTTAAGGGACTAAATTGAAAAATATAAATATTTAAGTAGATGATAGATATATTTATTAATAAGTCAAATATTTAGATGTAAAAGATTGATAGTGTTAAAAAATATATTAAAATATCTTTAACTTGATTATTTAATTTTAGAATATGTACATTAATTTATCTTTTTTTATAAAATTTAAGTTTGAATTCTCATTCTATAAAAAAATTTAAAAAAATTCATACCTAGAGCCAAATTTAAATAAATAACTCGCATTATATTAAGATAAAGTAATATAAAAATACTAAATAAATCCTTTTTTCTTTTATTTATAATAATATAAAAATTTAAAATTTATTTAACTTAGTTTTTAACTAAAGCTGAACTCAAATTAAGTAAACAAGTTGATTTAGTTATTTTTTTTGTTGAAAAAATGAAGAAAGAAGATATAGAGTTAACAATGATTATAAAAAAAATCCTTCATTCTAACTTACTTAATTTGGATATAACAAACCTCTTATTACTCCACTCATTTAATTTTTTATTTATTTTTTATGTTTTTATTTTGTTTAATGTTTTAGGTTAAAATTTCCTTGATTAAAAATTGCATTTATGGTTGATAGAGTTAAACATAATTGTAAAAATTTGTACTATTTTATTTTATATTTACAAATTTTTGGTAGATCCAAATTAATAATTTAAATTTAAATTTAGTAAAATTTAATTGTGGCATTTGAGTTTAAATAAAATCATTTTATAAGAAAATTTAAGTAAATTTAAATAAAAGGTAAATTGGGTAAGAATTGAATAATTTCAAAAGAATGGGTATTTGTAAATTATAAAAGTTTTAACTAAATCAACTTATTTTACTAATTTGAGTTTAAAGCATGTTAAAAATTAAGTCAAATAAATTTTAAATTTTTATTCTATTATAAATAGAAGAAATAAAGAATTTATTTAACCTTTTTATATTATTTTATTCTAACATAATGCAAGTTATTTATCTAAATTTAACTTTAGGTATAAAATTTTTTTTAAAAAAATTTTCATAGAAGAAGAATTCAAACTTAATTTTTACAAAGAAAATAAATTAATATACATATTCTAAAATCAAATAATCAAATAAGAAAATATTTATATATATTTTTAACATCATAAATCTTTTACACTTAAATATTTAGCTTATTAATAAGTTTATATATAATCTACTTAAATATTTATATTTTTTAAATTTTTTTTTCAATTTAGTCTCTTCACATCTCATTTTCGTTCAATGTAGTATCTATATTATATATTTTTATTCAATTTAATCTCTATGATGTAACATGATTTGTTTGAAATTTTTTTGATTTGTCACGTGACATCGATATGTTAGCATGTTAGTGTCACATCAACATTATCACGTCATCATGTATATGCCACGTGACACACCATATCATCGTATTGGTGTCATGTCATCAAAATGTATCATGTCAATCTTTTTAAGAGTAAAATTGAATATCGTTAGGAAAAATAACTAAATTAAGGTAATTTTTAAAATTAAAAGATTAAATTGTTTTGATTTTAAATATATTGACTAAATTAAACAAAATACATAAATATAGAGACTTGGTAGATATTTTGACAAAAAAATTCATGATTATAGAACAAAAAGAAATACTTTATTTAATTAAAATGAATAAATCTATATAATAGATATATTTTCAGCTCCTATTTGATATTAATAAGGGTAGTTTGGATATTTTCAGAAAAAGTTAATTGAACTAATCTTTCCATCTCGATATCATCCCTATTCAGGTGAATTTACACTCATTTTATCCACTCTCGAGATTTTTTTTAGCGTCGGGCTTGTTGATGTCCCATTTTATCAATGCCTTTGGCAAGAGTTAGGTATTTTAGGTCTGAGTTTTTAAGGGGTTCGTAGAATGGAATAAAAGGAAAATAGAATAATTATTTTTTTAGAGTAGAATATAATAATATAAGATTAAATTAGTTATTATATGTTTTAGTTCATAGAATGGAATTATGATTCTCATATTATTTCAATATTTAGTTAACAAGTGATAAAGCAATAGGTAATAAAATGATAAAAGTATCTTTTATTATCATTTAATAAATTTGTTGAGGTTCTTAAAACTCATTATCTTTTAATAGTATGCTTTTATTAAATTATGATTTAATAATAATTTAATATTTTATCTTTAAAATATTAAACTTTGTTATTAAAATATTAATTTAATTTGTTATCTTAATTTCTTTTTATTTATTTTTATAACATTTTATTAAAATATTAATAATTTATTATTTACAATATCATTAATAATTTAATTTTTACTAATTAATATTTCAATAATAAATTATTATTATTTTAATAACATTATTATTAAATTAATATTTTTATTATTACAGTATTAATAATTATTATTAATTTTTATTAATTAATATTTCAATAATAAATTATTAATAATTTTAATTATTACAATATTACTTAAGGTTAGTAATTTATTATTAATAATTTAATAATTTATGTCACTTAAGCTTGCTTAGTAATTTCTTAAAATGAGTAGGATATTTTTGTTTAAAAATATTTGGATTCTATTTTGTAGGGAAAATAATAGTCCATACCAGGGAAGTTGATATTAGTTATTCCGTGAAATAATATATCTTTTTTCAATTCTAATTAAAATTGGTTATTTTTTTAAACATTTTACATGCTTGCTCAGGCCTATGCTTGTCTATTATAATTAAAATATTTTTATAAATGGTTTTTGTCAATTTAGTTTACAATTTTACATGCTTGATCATGATTATATTTGTCTAATCAGCTTTGTTTTTTTCTTGATTTTTATATCATAAGTTTTAACCTTTGCAACTAAGCTATTAGCCTAGCAAGGCAGTTGAGTTTGGCGGTTGACATAAGGTACACAGAGATGATCCTATTCCTAGAAGGACAGGGATTCTTCATCAGACATGGATGAAGGTAAAGAGGGAAAGCGATGGGGAAGCCAACGAGGCAACCCATTTACTTTCTTGGAACGAAGATAGATAGATAGGTGCTGGGTAGTGGAATGTCCCACCCATACTCCATCTTTAGTTAGTGCTGAATGCAATAACTTTTGCTTCATTAATAAAATCTCTTTTCTTTGGGTTTTTCCCAAAAACAGAAGCCTTTTTCATTGTAAATTTATGTCCAGTGTCATTTGGCCGATGGTCTGTTAGACTTGTGAAGTTCTTTAGTTATATTGACATCGTGTTTATCTCATACGGTCTGTAAGTTTTATCTCCTAAGGACATTTTTACAGCTAATAATTTTTCTATTTGATGGCATTTGAATATTTTGATAAGCAAACAATGCTTAAAACTATATGATCAAATCATACAATTAATTCATATATTTTGTCAAAATGATGAATTTAATCTTTATAGATTTAATTTATAAAAATTAAATTTTTATATTTTTTAAAATTATTAATGTCAATTTAATTATTAATAATATTTAAAATTTTCATTATTTATATTAAAATAATATTTGATTGTACTGACGTAACATTAATTATGATAACATTGATTACACTTTTAATAACAATCATTATATTATTTTTAAATATCACATCATTAAATTTAATGATATGTTATCATATTCAATGTTGTGTCAATATAATCAAATAACATATCAACATAAATAACAAAAAAATTTAATATCATTAATAATTAGATTAACATTATTAATTTAAAAAAATTAAAATTTAATTTTTATAAAATTAAATCAACCATTTTAATGGAGTACAGAAATTAATTTTATGATAATCCAAACTGCATCTTTGTCCTCAAGTTAATTGAAAGTACAATAAGGGAGGCAGTTTAGTACTAAGAAAGTGAGTCACTTTTAGGGAATGTAGTCTTATCATGGCCATTGTATTACAACAAATCTTTGCGAGTGTCATTTTATAGGGAGAAGTGATAAGCTGACTTTCTCATGATGGGAGAAAGTACAAATTTATGGTGCAGACTCTTTAACTCTTGCAGGCTCGGATGGAATCAAATTTAGATGTTAATGTTAGTTACTTCAATCTTAAATGTATTAATGATTGAATAAATGTAAAAATTAACAAAACTTATCAATGAATGTGTTTAAAAATTTTATTTTGCCCTAACCTTATGTTAGGCTAAGTGCAAATGAATGGCTAACGAGGATTGTTTTGAGAGAAAAAAAAAAACAAAGACCTTACATATTACTAAAATATGGTAATTTCAATAAATAAGATTAAAGAGGTTACATGTCTCTTACTTTTAAAGAAAAATATACATAAATCATTAAATTAAATACTCGACCACAAAATTACAACAAAAATTAATTGATGGAATCAAATTTGGAAAATTAATTTTTCACCTCCAAAGGACATCTTATTCTTAAAACTTGAGACTCAAACTTTCAAATCTTGAATTCAAGTTTTAAAAATGGAAATATGGGGCTCTTGGATGCAATTATGATATTCTTATTTCTTATTTTTGTAGTCAAAGGGTTAATTAGGAAAAGAAATACAAATTTAAAATAAATAACTAGGAATATTCCTGTTTGGGATTTGAAAAGAGATCATGTTGTCGATATTTAAAGATAAAATGTCGTATGAAAGTATTGAATATTCGGTTCATAATCACCCCTTTAAATCCACCCTCCATATTATATGCTTTTCCCCATAGCCAACCGACCATTAGGAAAGAATGCTCATAGTCAACAAAATTGTCACTTTTCAATAATTGTTGATTACGAATTATTTTTACTACACGTATCACTTAGTTATTCCTTTATGTGTCATGAACTTATTGGCTGAGTTTTATTAATTTATCAATTTTGATTATTAAATTTAATTTAATTTATTCATTAATTTAAGAAAAGAGGATTTCAATATAATTTTTCAACGTGAGAGATGTACCATACCAAATATCCAAATGCAAGTGTTATGCAATCTTTGTGTAATTTATTTATTTATTTTTACAAACTTCATAATAGGAAATCCAACTATGCACATCCTTAACAATTAATTACATAAACGTTTCCTTTTAACTTTACACTTTGTTTTGGTAAGTGTTCTAATTTAGGCAGGACAGTAGGACTTGACAATTTCAAAAACAATAATAACAAAAATTTCCACATATTTGTCCACAGATCATCTTTCCTAAATTATGAATGTATTTATTATATTACCATATTTATATTTATAAAAAACATAATTTTATGTCATGTTCTTTTAGCTCTAATTAGAAGAAAAACATTTACTATAAAATTATATACTATGTTATTTTGCACAAAAAAAGATGTTTAAAAGATCAGAAATTTAATATTCCATTTAATGTTCAACACTGAACCAAACAAATTTTAAAATACTAACTGAATACTTATCTTTTCAATATGAAAACCATTTATTATTATTTTTTAAATACAATAGAACTCCAGTTGAAGCAGTCAACGAGTATGATCCCGAGTTGCCAAATGAACATCTAAAGACATGAAAAGTTGAACTGTAAGCACACAACAGATTTATACAAAACTTTGTGACATCAATCATCACACGCCCCATTTTGTTTTTCCTTTTTTGGGTTAAATATTTACTTTTCCATCTTAGATTAGACTATATTCAGTCACACTAATAAATTAAAAAGGCAGATATATCCCAAAAGAAGAAGGAAGGTTGGGGTAAAGAACGATAAAGTTATTAATTATTATATCTTTGTCTGGGACCCAACTTGAATGTGACCCTCACTTTGCCAACGTCATGCCACCTGTCCACCCAACGCATTCTCAGTCTCTGCCCACTCAAATATTCCTTCCCTCTCTCTCTCTCTTCTCTCTCTCGGTCTTTCTCTCCACATAAAGGGACAATTCTTCTTGACTGCTTGCTGCTCTGATCTTCTTCCCTCATTCCATTCTCAAAAGGCAAAGCGAATTCCGGAAATTCGGCATGGATTCCACAAAGAAGAAGGTTTGCCACTAATCGATCCCTCCAAAACCGAACTCCGCCATGAAACAGCCGTTGCCTCAGCCATGTCCAACAAAGGAGCGCACGCTGCTCTTGGCTACATGGTCAGTGCAGGTCTGTAAAATTTGAAACTCTTTTTTTCTTTTCTGTTCTGTTTGTTTCTCCGCATTTTCACCTGTAAATTATCCTTTTCGACAGAGGTTTTTCAGTAGACTAATTCTTTATTCATTTTACTGTGAAAAAGCAGTAGCGTGACGTCAGAATTTGTTACTATTTTATTTGTTTTTTGGTAAATTTGTTTAGCTGATTTGATTGTTCATTTTCTTATGAGTTGTTTGGTTTGGTTTCAGAGATTGTGAGTACAAAAGAAATTGCTATTCTCTCTCTCTCTTCTCTCTCTCTCTCTCTCTCTCTCTCTCTCTCTCTCTCTCTCTATATGTTATATATATGTATATGTATCTGTGCAATAATAATAGTACTTGGCCCAATTGAAATGTTTGCAGTGTGTCCATTTCGAAAAACATGGAATTATGAATTGCACATATTAAATCAAACGGATACGTGGCAAACCGTTCGTGAAGCTTTTAAAAATTTCATCCACATTGTAACAAACAATAAACTAAACTATATGACTAATGTAAAAGCTTCGTTTATGGTTATGACATTGTTAAATGATATATCTAACGAAATCAAATGTTAATGAAATGAAGTTGTACTGCCTGTTTGATGTGTTTGGAAGAATCGTGAGCTTTCCTCTGGAAATTTTGTAAATAAACTATCTAGATTGGTGGAAATTATTCAGACGAAATAACCTTTTTTTTTAATTTTCTTTTTCTGTTACATAATTAATCACCTGTCGTGTTCTGAGTTACAATGTAGTGAAGTATACATGTCAATGTAACAGTTTTACTGACTCATTCGCAGTGGGGAAGAAGTTAGGCTTTGGGGCCTCTTTTTGAATTTTAGTTTTTGTTTTTTTGTATGAAGAGACTACTTTTCATTATTCAAAGATCAATTGGCAAACAAAATGACTTTTGAGTCAACTCATTAAGGAGTTGCTGAGGTTGCAAAAACCAGACAGAGTTTTGTCAGTGACATTTTGTCTTAGAATTGAGAAAGTCTTGCCATGTTTTGTTGTTTTATATTTGAACAATATGAAGGTGGAATATAGTATTAGGAAGGTAACATATTATAATTATCTTTTCAGAATCGGATCATCATTTCTATGATATATTTTTCTTAATTAGTGTATTATGTAATGAGAGGATTTCTTCATGAATTGGGAAAAAAATGAGGGAGGAAAATAATGCCACTGCATTTATCATCAATTTCTGAAAAGCTAATGCATATCTGTTTTGGTTTGTGTAACTTACAGACGTTTTAGCTATGCTCTTTGTATAGTTTTAACGCAAGAATGATAAAACGCTGGTTCTAATTATTTGTCAAGGAACAGCTCTGACCACTTTGCTTGCATGTGTTGGTTAATTAACTTTTCTCCGTTAACACTACTAAGTTTCTCTTATCTGATCAAGCCTTTTTTATCTTTCCTGCAGTTTCTCTTGATTTTGTTCAACACAAGCAGCCCTTTCTTCTTACAGCTTTCCATATGCAAATGTGATCACACTTTTTCAGGTAAATTACTTGCTAAGTCGGTTTCCTGAGATAGCCTAAGTATGTTTGCTTAGTAGAATAGTTACAATTCTCAGTGGAAGGACTCAACAGAATACTTATTTTTTAGATTTCCAATGACAATTTCTGCATAAATGTTTGCTAGCAGCTTTCCTTCCTTGGTGGTTGAATAGAACCTCAAAAAGTTTCATGAACAGAGTAAGATATAGGAAAGTGAAAGAAACAAGTGGTAAAGATTAAAGAATGACAATCACAATCCAACGAGATTCTGAAGTTGAAGCTCTCTCACTTATATATACTTATGAATTTGCTTATTTTTACACAACCCGCATCCCCCCCACCCCGCCCCCCCCCCAAAAAAAAAAGAAAGAAAGAAAGAAAGAAATGGAGAGGGAAGGATTTATTATTCCGAGTATCTAATGTAATCAACATTACACTCAGTTATTCAAGTGTTCAATTTGAAGATATCTTGGGATATTAATTATAAAAATCCAAATCCTTCCGACTGGACATGATGAGGCTAGCTTTCAGTGGTGAAGTCAAAATGTTGAAAAAAAGTTTCCTGACTTTTCGTTCTATACGTCTGCGCCATTTTCTCGATCTAAAGTTTGAACATTTTTCCCCTCTGCACTGTCTCAGTCATGTCAAAGTCATTTTCTGTCCTCTTTTCAGGTTCATGGGCACTGTTTACTGCATTTTTGTCACTTTTAAATTTCATTTTGTCTCCATGGTATCCTGCCATTGTCATGTGGCCTTTGAAGTGCGTAGCCAACTCTGATATCTAGAGAACTCTTCATTTGGGTTGACAACATAAAGGTTGAAGTTTCCATAATATTTTCTTGAAAAATTGTAAAAAGAAAAGAAATTTTTGCTGCTTGAAGTAACTTTTCCAATTAATTGATAACTATCCTCCAGTAAAACATACTAGATCAACCATCAGCAAACTGCAGTAACTTTTGAGTTTTTTTGAAAAGCCACTGATTATATATGTTGAGGTACAGTATCATGGATTTCTGGTATAGCATGTTTTCTCTTAGAATTTTTCCATGATTGAAAGAGTGCATGAAAAAGATCCAAAATCACCTTCCTTTACTCATATAGCCCCTCTCCCATTTTTTGTTTTCCCTAAAGAGAAAAGCTAGGCATACTTTTGACTGCAATAGTTAGGTTTTGCATGTATATTTGGTGTTTTCTTATCTTTTGACAGTTCATAAATCATGTGTGTGTATTGCATGCTATACCTTGGAATCATTACAATTTTTAGAATTTCAGTTTGACAATTTTCTATTTAATTCTGTCAAAATCATGTTATTTAGAGTTCAGTTTTTACCACCCTGTCTGATATTTGGAGTTTGACAATTGAATCACAATGCATTAAATTTGACCTTCTATCATTAGTTTACTAAATTAATTTAACTCTAATGTACATTTAGATGCTATGTTCATGTGCATTTCTCTATGCCATGAAACGCTGGAAGATCATCTCTTTCACAGAGGGGGAGCCACAGAGCTTTACTGGTAACCCAGTAACCTTAGTACCATTGAATACACTGTTTCATACCCTCCCTCTGGCAGTTTCATATTTGCTATACATGGTATGTATTAAAGGCTGGATATTGGTTTCTATGTATGCTTGGTGAAACTTTAAAATCTTTCTTCTGATTCTTCCCTTTTACTTGCTTGTCTGGTGGAAGTTAATCACCATGGAATCTGTCCGTGGCATAAATGTTCCTATGTACACCACCCTAAGGCGGACAACTGTGGCTTTTACCATGATTATGGAGTATCTTTTGACAGGGAGGAAACACTCATCATATGTTGTTGGCAGGTTGGAGCCTTTTTATATGCTATTTTCGTCTAACAATTGGGTCATTTATTGTACTGAAGCAATGTGCATGCATGTGCATCTGGGCTGTTTGGTGCATCCACCCTAAGGGATTTCGTAAGAGTTCTGCATCATAAATAAGAATGCCTTGCCTTTATATTTACGAAGTTCAGAGAATTCCTGCCATTTTGACCTCTCCTTTCTTGCACACATACAACGATTCACTTCTGAATACTGTGGTTGACAGCAAGAATTAAGTTTAGACAACTAGGCATAGCGGTATGCATATCATTTGATAACATCCAGAGGTGTTATCTGCAATTATGATAATATTCTCAAGAAAGGTGAAATAACATTTGAAAAATAGTAAATAGGTGTGAAACTAGATGAAAGGTAAAACTGCCTTGGAGAACGGTTGCACTTTGTTGTCTTCACTAAGTTTATCTCAGAATTTAGCGGTCCATCGGAATGCAAGCTTATAACTTTTACTGAAGTTCTCTGTTGAATTTTAACAGAGAGACTTTTGTTGGCTTCTGCATGCAATCTAAATGTGATACTTAGACCCAGCAGAGTTGAATTAAATCTACAAGTTTTATCATGAGATTGCACACGGTGGTAACTGAGTGTGGATGAAAATGTAGAAAAGGATGAAATAAATTCTTTTGATTGCACATGGCAGATTAAACAAAAAAATGATTTCAAGAAGATTAAGTGCTGATGAAGGATCATGAATAAGAATTATAAATTAAATGTATCTGAGAGAAGCTAAAGTGAATTTTTCCTTGTTTGGTGTATTTTTGCTTCCTTTTTTAACATCACAATGGATGTAAGTTTGAAACTCTTGATCTGTTAGTGCACAACATTGATCTGACAAGTGTGAATTTGGGTTATTCTAAGGTTCATTTTTCTGGTTATTCTAGGCATTTTTTAGTTATTCTAAAGAATTAAGTTTGCTTGAGGTACAACAATCATTGAATATATTAGGTTTATATTCTCTTTCAAAATTCCGCAAGCTGTTCTGAGTAAACAAGGTATCATTTTTTAGAGCAAGTTTGATTGCTATAGTTTCCATGTTCTTGCAATTTTATATATGACATCTAGTGTTTTACGTATCTATGTTGAATGTTCTAAACATAACTGATAACTTTCTTAATGGACTAATCCAAGGATTTCATCAGTGTGGGGATAATTATACTTGGTGCATTTGTTGCTGGAGCTCGTGACTTGTCATTTGATGCCTATAGCTATTCCATTGTATTCATAGCAAACATCTGCACAGCAGTATATCTTGCTTCCATTTCTCGTATTGGTATTATCCCCTTTTAGCCTCTTCTTTATCTTTCACGGAATTTTGTAATTTCTTTCTAGTTTGTGATATATTCTCAAACTTTTCAGGTAAGTCCAGTGGCCTCAATAGCTTTGGCCTTATGTGGTGCAATGGTAAGATTAAAGGACAAAGAATTGTTTTTTATCCTTGTGGTTCATCTAAAAATTAACAATTTAGGCTTATATGAACTCTCTACAAAATTTTTGTTGATTCTTGAAGGAATAATATGTGCACCAATCTTGTTGTTTTGGACATCATTCAGTGGGGACCTTGAAGCGATGATGAGCTTCCCTTATCTATATTCGAAAGGATTCCAGGTGCTTCCTTTTCACAAAATAATTCCTCTCTTGCTACGTATTCTTTTCCTTATGATGTTGTTCTGAAAGTAAGTGCATTAATTGTTAGCTATTTTTCAAATCCATCTATTATTACTCCTGCTTAGGTCTCAGCTGTACCTATTACATTTGGATAAATTTGATGGTTTATTTTAACTTATTGATTTTCTTGAAACGAAAATGCTGCCGATAGAATCATCCTTGTTTGAAGCTGCAACATGTCATTAACATACATTGTTACTATCTGTTGTTTGTTTCACTTTGTGTCCATTCCCTTCTTTTGTGCTGTCATTGCTATTTATTTAAGTCTTACTGGTCTTACTGGTTTGGTCTTCACTACTTTTTCATGTCTATTTCAAATTTAAAAAGAAAAATTTCAATAAACTTTCCTACCTTAATTTCATTTCCTCCATATTTTATCATATTTGGAGGTTACTTGATTTGGTTTTTTTAGTTCAGTCACTTCTGTTTTTTGTTTTTAGTGTTACCGATCTCGTGTGTCATGCAAACTTGGTTTTATTGCTTTCCCTGGCTACAGAGCTTTTCTTTAACTGCCTTTCCTTGGACTCTTTCTTTTGTTAACTCATTTCGGCAATTGCTTCTGTAAAGTTACATCAGGATTGTAGTAACCCTAATGAATAACTTTCATGACAGGAGAGCATTTAAACTCTTTTACACTTTAACCATTTGAATGTTTTTCAGGTGGTGATGTTTCTTTCTTGTATCATGGCTTTCCTGATAAATTATTTTGTATTCTTGAATACAACACTCAATTCAGCTCTGACGCAGACAATATGTGGCAATTTGAAGGTGTGATAGCTGATTCTAGCTCTATGTTAATTTAACATATTTGTCTGTTACATGTTAATATTACATAATGCCATCAGTGGCTTTCATTCTTTATCACTGAACAGAGTGATTTTTTGTTTTTTAAATATGTGGGGCAGAAGAAATTTTATGAGAGAGGAGTTGAAGGCTCCAGTTGGGTGACCCTCTTTGTAGACCATTAGACCATCATGCCTGATATTTCTAATAGTCTGTCTGAGCTAATTATAAGCTGCAGTAATGAAGATCCAATGTGATCCTGATACATATGAAGAGAATCTGTCAGTTACACTCAGATCCATTAAAAAGTTTTAACCTCTAAGCAAAGCCCACTAAGTGATAAGATCCTGTATTTTACATGACATCTTCTTTTAGATTTGCACATTTAAGGCAGTAGCTGTTTTGCTTGACATCTTCTTGACTCTGTTTCACTTTAGGTCCACCATGTTCCTGTAAATGCCAAAAGGAAATATTGCAAATTATATCAGCGCTAAAAGGGCACTGGTCCTGCATTTTTTTAGTTTTGTTTTTGCGCTGAAGGCTCTTGGCCTGTGACTCAAAATGATAGACGGTAGGGAGAAACCGTATAGGTTCAAGTCTTATAGATATGCATGGAAAAAATTCTGTTTTTCTTGTGAACTTAACAGTCTTTAGTGGGTTTCTACTTTCTACTTGGCTTGCAAAATGTGTTAGTGGTCCTATAGATGCTTGCCTTTGCTCTGCGTTTTATGTCGCTTATCCCCTTGAATTTTGGTGACGCCTACTTGTGTTGTATAGGATCTTTTAACTATTGGACTGGGATGGCTACTGTTTGGCGGGCTTCCATTTGATTTGGTGAGTATAGGCTCCCACTAGGCCCGCTACCTGTAAGCCTCAGTTAAGCTGGCATAGTTATGTCATTAATTTTCCTGTTGTTTCCAGATGAATGTTGTTGGCCAATCTCTTGGGTTTTTGGGGTCAGGTTTGTATGCGTACTGTAAAATCAGAGGGAAATAAACCCATGGCCGCTGCTTGAGAGCCTCATACTGGAGGTAAATAATCTACTGGCTTGATTACTTCTACATTATCTTCTGCAAAATTTTGATTCAAAGATCCTTCTATGCTCAAAGTTCTCAACACAAAGGTCAAAGAGGCAAGCAGTTAGGTGTATGAGAGGAACAGGGGCTCTTCAGTGTCTTCAACACAGGAAATTTGTGGATTCTAGTGAACATCAGTTTCTTCTTCTAGCTGATCTTAAACTAATTAATATTTAACTGCACAAAAAAAATTTTGGAGTTGATAAATTTTGATTTCACTAAACTTCAGAATCTTGTTTCGCTCTTTATAGACATTGTCATATTTTTTCGGCCGATCTTTTCATAGTTCTCAATCCAGCATACAACTTTCATCAATCAGTTGTTTGCTGTGACTGCTACATATTCTCGGTAATTTTGGCTGGCTATGGAAACTACCTCAAATAGCACTTATATTCCTGGGTTCAACAGCTAAGTTGCTCCACATTGACTTGAAGGTCACAGGTTCAAGTCATGTCAACAGCTTCTTTGCACAACAAGAATAAGGTGCATACATCTGACCCTTCCCAAACCCCACAATGCGAGAGCCTCGTGCATTGGGCTACCCTTCAGCTTATATCTCAACACGGCTGTCCGGTGTGGCCACGAACCATATATAAACATGGCAATTGCGATTGATTTTGATTCTTCTGCTACACATGTCTAATCTGATAAATTACAGTAGAACCAATAATGTTTCGAATAAATAAGAATACAGGCATATATATAGATAGCAGAAGAGGTGTTTGCGTGTTTATAACTTTCCTGGGACAACAGCTGATGCCTGATTACTTCTTCAGTTTTGTTCGTTTGCAAGATTACTTCCTAGAGATTAAGCTTGGACACAATTCATTTTCATTAACCGCAAGCGATTACAAATCTCTTTTCATGTGTTGCAACAGTGACCAACTTTCCTTGTACTACAAGAACTTATTGGTTCCATTGCCTGTTAATGTTTCTGTTCAAAGTAGAATATATGGCTGCCATTGCCCTGAACACTTGATACATGATTATCACGTATCGACAATTCATGTATAATTTCTATTTTTCTTTTCCCTGGTGTGCCCACAGCCTTGGGACAGTTCAGGTGTCCCTTAAGTCCCCATAAAAGGTGAAACTGTGTCCATTTGTGCCTGAATCTTTACAAAAGCAAAAGGCTTCTGCCATCCACTTATTGCGGAGCAAATATTTTTTTGGGGGATTCTAGGAGGTAACCCTGCTCCCATGTGTGGTGTGGACAGAGAGAAATCTCAATCCAACACCACAGCGTTGCTACTAGTGGCAATTAAGTTAAAGAGAGAGAGAGAGAGAGAGAGAGAGAGAGAGAGAGAGAGAGAGAGATGTGTAGCAACTCGAGTTCCTGAAGAGGGAAGTGTGTCTTTCTTGTCTTCACAAACTGACAACCGAGTTTGACCTAGTTGCCTTGCATGATTGAAACAAACCCGTCACCCACATTCGCTAAAGCCTAAAGCTTGCTCCAATGTTCTCGAACCCTTTCGACGTGCTCAATATCAGAGAGGGAGAAAGGGTACCAAACCTCCCAACAATTTCTCTTGTTTGACTATGATTCAGAATGCCATGATCTTGACGTTCAACTCCGATCTAAATTTTAGTCAAAGGAAGTTCCTTTTTATATTTTATGTTTTTCGAATGGGTACATTAAGCCGGAAAAAGCGTGCTAATCTCTCCATTGATTTTCTTTCTTTTTTTTTTTTTTTAATCTCTTTTGAAAAATCATTGAGAAAAATAAAGGAGGAAAAAAACCCCAAGAGGAAGCTTGAAAAATCAAAAGTCATTCAACTACTCTCTTCATTGGAGAGACGCTAAGAAAGTATGTTTGCTTTCTTGATAAAAGAATAAAAGCCAACATGGACCATACAACTTTAGGAAATCTCTGTAAGAGTAGAACATGGGTGTCTCTTTGTCCCACCCCTTTAATCAAGACTTTCAATATCATCAATCAGTTCAAGTCCAACCTTGTAAAATCTATGTTCCCACTCTACTTTTTGCAGCTTCTGTACATAAAAAAAGAGAATCCACAGAATAAAACTGCTTGACCCCAAAGTTGCATTTTTGAGAAAGAAGAAACCCAAAGCTGTAATTTTAATTACGTTATTTCTGGTTGTACCATTCGTTTTCTTTTATCACTTTACTTGAAATTGAAATCTCGGTCACACAAGTAAAGCATGTGCTTGCTCAACAGGATAAAAAATAATGAGAAAATGAATGAAAGAAAAAAGCCAAAGTTTGTGGTATAGAATAGCTTTTGACCTCTCCTCCTCCTCCTTCTCCAGAGTGCTGACAGTAAGAAGCAAGAAGAAGGTAGAGAGGAAAAAAGTCCCCTAGGATCTGGTGATGAAAGTAGAGTGAGGAGGAATGGTTTAAGGCGTGGGAAGGGAATCTGTTTTGGTAGTGGCACGCGAACTTATCGCCCAAAATCATGAGTGTGTGAGAAGGGCTTTTTATAATTAAAAGGGTCCATTTTGCAGTTCCCAAAACCTTCAAAGAGAAGAAGGGAGTGAGTGACCCCCTCCCCCTCTCCCTCCCTTTGAAAAATTAAAAGAAAGGAAGGGTGAGCAAAACCCAAGGAGTGTGTTCCCTAATGCAGGCCCAAGGCAGGGCTCCTTTAGCGCCGGTGTCTCCGCTTTGGGTTGTTGGCAAATGCCAAATCTTGCCTAGTCGCTAATTGCTATGTGCTTATGTTTGTTGAAATTAAAAAGATTTTTTTTTCTTTTTCTGCAAACAACTTTGTACGTAGTACACCCTTGGAAACTTCTTTCTAGACAATCCCTTCGCTGACATTCTGCACTCCTGTTCCCAAGATTCCCCCCCTATCTCTCTCTCTCTCCCCAATATTAGTGACAATAATCCTTAATTTCTTTCATCAAAATGTGAACATTTTTAATTAGCTTCTAGTCCACTATGGAGTATGGTACCATGGATACCAACAAATGCCATTTTTTAAGGCTATAGCCAAGTGGATGGTACTCATTGGGATAGCCTAAGAGGACTGAAAACTTCCAATGTTTCTTGTGCTAGCTTGCCAGTTTTCTACAGCTTGCAAAACTTTAATTGTGATCCATAATCAAGCTGATTAGATGGTATTAGTTTAGGAATAATAGAAAGGAGATTTCGTCAGACAAAATTCCATCCTAGATAATTAATTGTTCAATTTGCTTGACATATCCATAGGCAAGGTATTAAAACTAACAGCAGGGACTAGATCGTTTGCAAACAAGCAAAGCCGGTAACAATATTGTTGTTTGAAGCTGAATAGATATATGTTTGAATCAACAGTGGACATTGTACACACACACACATATATATATATATATATATAGCTTGATTATACGGAGTACATATAAGCCAACCATCTTATTCTCTCTTTAGCAAAATCTGTTGTTCACTTGATTAATCAAATGCGAGCATGATACAGGAAGGTGGGGTGTTAAATTAATTATTATAGAAAAAGAAGGTGCAGTCAAAAGGGGTGTTTTTTCTTTGGAGGGGGGTTTTTTTTTGGAGGAGAATATTTCAGGTGCATGCGCAAGAGGAGGAGTTTGATTTTATTTGAGTACAAACTAAGCATGGCAAACCCTAAAAGTAAGTTGCTCCCCTTGACATCATTCCACTCACCTTCTTCACCTCCCCATCCCGAGGCAAAACCTCTCAGTATAACATTCTCTGCCTCCCCACACCTTCCTTCCTCACTCAAACTCGAATCTGTCTTTTCTCTCTCTCTCTCAGCTATAGTTTCTTGTCGCCCTGTAGCACTCTCTTAATTCTTCTCTCGTGCATTATATAAAGTTATAGTGGTTTCTTTTATTGACATTTTGATCATTATGGATAATCTTCTCGTCGCGTGTATCATTTATATTGTCACTTTTTCTCTTCTTTTTTCTTCATAAATTTCTTTCTAAATCCTAATAATTGAGTTAGCGTCTTTGAAAAATTCCTTGTTTTTGATTGATTTGAGTGGTACTCCATGATGAACACCTGTGATCATTAATGCTTTAGATTTATATAGCTGCTGAAAACTTTAAGGTTTACCATGGTCTTTGAATCAATTACTAAACAGAAGAATGTCCCTTTAGTTTGTCTTTTGTTTTTCTTTCACATTGCTTTTCTGAAAGATATTTTTGTTTCCTCATGTTCCTAATAGCGACATATTATGTCTTAGTGCACCCGAAAACATCATTTTACTGTTCCCTGTCTTGTTCTTGGATAACTGGTTTAGGCTGTTTTTCCTCTGCTGTAATTTGTTTTATCCCATCCATAATTCCATTGACCAGACGCTGTAATAGTGTTGCATCAAATTGCCTTGATTTTGACTCAACTCAAGGAATACAAATCATGATTTTGAGATCCCACTTTGTCATTATCATTCCCAACCACCAACAAAACCACCATCTCTACCCTCCACCTTCTACTCCATGAAGGTAGCCATCTTTTGCCTTGCGCAGGGACACTGAAAAAAGATCAATTTTATTGTCATGGGGCCATATCTTAACCTTCTTTATTCAAGTACTTCTTTCCCTTCTTTTTGGTTGGTAAGTGGTACCAGGCATGCAAGTATATAAAAGCTCCAAACCAGTACAAACTCTTTAACATCGTGGTGTGTTTCTCGTTGCATTCGTGGGATGATCAGGCGCTAGCTTTATTTGATCTTTCTCTGCTTTCTTTTTTCCCCATGAGAGAACTTTGCTGGTTGCTTGGGAAGCAAAAAGAAAGCGATGTTGGTGAGGTTCAATCCGAAGACGGATTTACGCATGCATTCAGTCGTAAAATACGATCTCAGATTGAGCCGCGCCAATATCACTTTCCAAAAGTATATGCCGATTTGCTCTCCCAACTCACCTTCATCTTCTCTTTTGCCCGTATTCTCGGTTTCAGCTTTCATGCTCACTATAATACTACTACATCTTTTGCATGGGCTAGAGCTATAAATGTGCTATGCCATTGCCATTGTTTTATCATTCCTAACTAATTTCGTGTTTGCTTTTATTTGTTTTATCGGTAATAACTTCATCTTCAACTTGTTATTGCAGCTCCCTCTACTACCTACTCTATTTCTCACGTACGACAAGCATACGTTTCTTCACCCTTGCCTGCCCTTACAGCAGAAACTATGTTTTACTGTTTTTCAGGTTTCTTCTTCTTGCACTGACGCAGGTATGGTCACAAATGCACAGCTTTTTCCTTTATTTCCTTATTTTCAATGACGACCCAATTATAATTACTGCAAATAAAGGTTATGGCATTGCACCATCTTGGCATACATAATGCAGATATTGCTTGGGAGTTGAGACCAGCTTGCTTAGATAGGGAGTTTAATCTTCGAATCTGTGAAATTAGAGTTGGCCTTCATCATCATAATTCCTCATATATATAATCTGTCATTTTCTCTATCATTTGTTCAATTATCTGTTTGGAATGATAATGAAGTGTTGTTAATCAAGGAAACACCTCCTTTTGGGGATATATGTAATTTAAGAACTCCATAGCAAATCAAAGAACCTTCTCGCAGTAATTTGTAATACTGTAGCAAAAGATAGTTTCACTGTTTCATTATCCAACAAAAGTAACTTTTTCCATATATATATATACACGACACTAGTATTTGATCATCTTATTCGATGCTACAGTAGGGCCTTCTGATGGGTTTAGTTCATGTTTTTTTCAAGAGCCTTCGCAAGGTCTTGCATATTCCATCATGATACATTGATGATACTGGAGAATAAAGTTGTTTTGTGCAGTGTGATTTATTTATTTTTGTAAGCCAAAATATAATGACTAGAGCTTTAAGATATGTGTATCCAAACGTTTTATCTTTAAGCATCAATTGAGTAACTGGGTTCAAGTAGCAAAGTGTTTTGTGTTTTCTCTTCAAGTTTACATATTAATGATGTTTATTAAAACCTTTACCGTGATTGGTGGCCTGGGTCCATTAATTTCTTATTCGATTATACGGTTGGTTCCTAAATATATATATATTTCCCCTGTAAACATAAATGAATAAGAAGAAAAGAAAGCAGACATTTGAATTTTGGTTCTGAAAATAATTTCTTGTACAAACTAGAAACAAGTCTTAAGCAGTTAACTATTTTCTCCTTGTAACTGATCGTCTGCTTAATTTACCCCTCATTCTCAATACATAGACAAGACAAAATCATGGCTCTACAGAGTAGTATTCCTTAATTAGTGTTTAATTACCGTCGTTGTGGCAAAGCAGGGATGTATAGCAATTGCATTTAAACGAACGTTTAGAACGTAAACCATGGCTAGCTTTGGCAAAGCATTGTTCATAAATTAACTATAAGAAATTGTCCTTTTTTTTTTTTGTTTTGGTTTTGGGTACATATCCACTGTTTATGACTGTTGAGATCTTTCTATTGTTTTGTTCCCTAATTTGTTTTAGATAGTTAGCTTGTTTGGCCAAATATGTGATTAGTTAACCCTTAGCCCAATGCATCAAAGAAGGGCTGAGGGTTTAGTATTATCAAATCCGATACCAATCATGTTTAGTACACGTCCTTATTACCATATATAGCACTTCGCTTCAACTTCCCCTTAAAGCTAAAGCTTCTCAAGCTAGCGATTGTCTCAATAAATCTCACCTCTATTTGGCTTATATTTCTAAAAAATGAATAAAAATAAACAACAAAAGTATCAACCAAAACAACACCTTAATTATATTACATATTAAACTAAGTTATAATAAAATGTGAATTCGAAGATAATCAAGGGGCCTTTAAACCTTGTAAAATCCAGAAATATATATATATATATATATATATTGCAGGTCCAAAGAAGTAAGTAAGCATTTATATTGGAGTTAATTAATTTAGCAATAAATGACAAATTAAGATGGTGATATGGGCTCAACAATGCTCTCTAATTGCATTCATATTCTATGTATTTCAAAAAACTAACTGATAGATTCTAATTCTTTATAATTCTACATATCTATAATTAATTTTTTTAATTAAAAAGTAGAAATAATAAAATTAGTCTAATACGGGGTTGTAGAGCATTCCTTAATTGTAATTTCCACAACCCTTAACTCTTCAAGATTGTATGGCCATAATGCCAGGATATGCTTCATTTTGCATGCCTATTCTTTTACCCCCCCTCCCTATGTTTGATACAAGTTGAAACCTGAAGGAATGGTGCTGAGTAAAGAACAAAGATTTCTATTTGATGGTTAAATTATGCCACAAATTCCTTTTCTCTATTGCAACCTAGCTAACTAGCTAGTCATACGGATGAAGCAATACGATATACCCAGAAAACAACTACTTCTTTATCTTCTGTTTTCCTGGTACAACTGTACCTGCATTAATGCTACAGGTTGGGAAACTTCAGCTTTAAATCATCGTTGATGTATATCAGAATTCATTAAAATGGTAACAAGCTTAAGATATTAACATAACTTGTTAAGTGCTAAATGATGAGGTAACACCTTGAGAATCATTAACATGTACTGTTAACGCGTAACTACAGTTTGGGAAAAAGAGGAATATTGCAGCACAAAAAGTGCAGCGTTTGATGGAAAGTTCTCAACTGGAAAATTTCCCTTTCTCATCTCCTTTTTACGTTGTTGTTGGAATTTAATCAATCAAATCTGGCGGTTGCACATGGATGCCTGGCCTTCTAGATATGTAAAAGAGGCTACTTTGCCTAGCCTGTCATGAATGTTTCCTTCCAACATCAGCAAGCGATGAGTCCAAAAAGTGTCCTTTCACCAGCTGATGATGCGGTACAAGTTCATTTCCTAGGTTTGCTATATCACTTCCTCAATCCATTTTACTTTGCTTAACCCATTTGATGGACGTCTATATGAGCAAGTTAGTTCAACTGAAGTAAATTTAGAACTTCATTGAAGTGTATTATTGTTATAGTCTCTACTGCAAGTTGGATAAAGTAGGACGGGCCACCTGTCATGGAGGCTTCTAAAAATAATTTATGCCCAGACAAACGATTTTACCAATTGAGTCAATCTATCGTTGGTACATAAAAAGCTTAAATTATCACAAAGTTATACTCAATTATGAGTCGCCTTTACCCTATCTCTTGGTTTAGAAACATATATTGCTAACTATTGACATGTGAGTATATATATATATATATATATATGTACATTGCATTAAGCTGTATGTAATTTGGATGCCTCTAATTGATATCTGACTCAAACCAGCATTAAAAAAAGACGGTGCTATCAATTCCAGGATTTCTAACATGGCATAGTGAAGGGAAATCCTGTCGTTCACCATCTGACAGCTAAAAAAGATTACTCGATGTCTTTTGAATTTTGATGCTTATGCTGGCTAGCTATAGATTCTCATAGGAAAGCTTCCAGTTGGCCTAATTATAGTTGTCGAGAAAAAAAAATTACACTCAAGTTTGATTTTTGATTTCACTGGCAAAGAGAGGGAGGGCCAGATTGCTCTTTATTGAGGTAAATCACACAATGCAAGGTGGTCCTCCCAAATCTTTCTCTAGCTAGCTCTCACTGTTGATGGTTAGCATATATTCTCTAGAGCTGCTGCTGTTATGGCTCCAAAGTCCAAAGATAAAATTCCCATTTTTGCCTTAAACTTTGACTATACTCTTTCTGCAAATCGTTGTCAGAATAAGTTAAAGCAAGATAAGCTTTTTATCTGATGTAGTCGATGATGAGATGCATATGTAACTACACCATTGTTATTTGTAAAGCACAAGCGAATTTTACTGTAGGCCTTGTGGAAATGATTTGCAGAATAAGTAAAGCTCACAAAGATTCCGGATTGAAGGTGATACAAAGGACAAGTGATGTCAAGATGCATTTGGAACTATAAATTTTGCACTGTACTCTTTTTGGAAGTGATTTTCAGAATAAGTTAAAGCAGGATTCGATTCTAGTTTGAAGAGAACAGCTGACTGACATTCATGGATTTTATTTGTTCTGTGTAAAAATAATAGTACTATGCCTTTTTTATACTTGTAGAAAGTTGATGTGCTGATTTTGGTACAAAATAAGCCAGTGGCTTATCTTGGACAGAATGGTTAGATGCTTCTGTTTTAAGGGGAAGCAGGCTGAGCTTGTGCAGGTGCAACTGCGCATTTGTAGCCAATGGCTTTTTGAGTTTAGACACAGTGGATATGCAGTCAGGTAAGTAGTTAATGAACCTATCTTGTTCACTAAAACAAAAGTTTTCCATCTTTAGCATTCACATTTACAGATACAGAATACAACAGAGAGCCGCAGTTGCAGGATCCAACAAGGTTTTCAAATTGAAGAAACTCTCAGCTTAACAACTTTTAATTCTAAGAGAGGAAATGTAGATTTGAAGCAAAGCATTCTGCAAATTCCAAAACTCAAAGAAATTGACATTCAGGTAGCTGCAAATACCAATCTTGGAAATGGGAGGTTTGATCTAATTACAAGAGATATCTCAATTACAACACCGGGAAATGGCGAGGAATGGTCCCACATTCGAGGTTAGCTCTCTAGTGTAAGGTTTTAAAGAAAAGGAAATTGATTTACCTCTTCCAATCCTTCCACCTCTAGCAAATTTCAAACTCCCCAAAATTATACAACAAGCTTGAAATATTGTCTTCACACAATCGAAGTTACAATTGTGGCATCATAACCTCTGATTTGATAGTTGAGCCAATAATGACAGGCATTGACTACTCATTATCTACACCGCTGTTTGCCAGTATTCAAGGGAGAATCTCTGATGCTTTTGGATTGAGCATTGGAGAGTTGCTGAGATCCCTCTGGTTTCTTCTTCCGTCTCCCTTGTTGTGATAGACGAGAGTGATAAGATAAGATGGCAAGATCATTAAGATCTTGCAATGGAGTGAGAACTTTCACTACTTCATCCATTGTAGGACGGGATTTTGGGTCCCTATGGAGGCAGTTGTAAGCTAATTGAGAAACTTTCTGCACCCCTTTAAGAGAATAATGCAGCTCCAAGCGGGGATCCACAAGTTGGTAAAGTTTTCTCTTGTCAGCTAAATATGATCGAGCCCATGCAACAAGATTCTGCTCCCCACTAGGGCGCTTCTTGTCCATTGATCTTCGGCCAGTCAAAATCTCAAGTAATACAACACCAAAGCTGTAGACATCACTCTTAGATGTCAAGTGCCCTGGGAAAAAGATCCAAAGTTGTACATATAATAAATTCTCAGATTTTTGCATGGAGCAGAAAACTTGAGGAACAAACAGAGACCTAAAGGCATAGAAGCATACAGTTGGCAAATCAGGAACTCTCAGTGCCAAATAACACCATAACAATCAATCAACATGAGCTATTGAGTTTGATGAATGCTTTCCATATCATTGAAATGTTCCACTAACTAACAGAGTCAAATCAGACAGCTCAAGATCACTTATTAAAAAATCTTTGCTTAAAGCAGTACAGGGCACGAAAGCACATGAACAAAAATATTGTGCATTTGGGAGTCTGGCTACTGATATTCAAAATTCCACTCAACTTTGCAAGGGTAATGCTCTTGCAGATATGTAACATATCAGCACACTTTACCTACTCTAGTCTCCAGAATTTTGGTGATTCTATATTCTATCTACTTCTGGTACTTAAAATCAAGTTCTATGGCAATTTGATAATGAAAGTCAATTTCATTATAGAATGTTAGTTTAGTGATTTCAGCAATGCCTTGGTTATTTTATGACCATCTAGATTGTTTCTAATTCTGCCACTGATATTTTGTATAACAGGTAGTTTTAATGGTAATTGAAATAAGAGTAGCATATCTGACCTGCTCTTCTAACAACCAGTGACATTCATGGTTCAAGAACAAACCAGATACACACGTGTCCGAGTAGTTTGATGTCATTCCTACCGCTGTGTTCCTTAGCATTTAAATTCGTTTTAATGTTGAGTCAAATTTCCTTAGAGAAGGCATGTACTAGAGCTTCAAGCTTTCAATTAGTTCAGATCACCTTGCATTTAATACCTGTCATAACATACTCTGGTGCAGCATAGCCATAGGTTCCAACAACCCTAGTAGAAACATGTGTTTTGTCTCCTCGAGGACCAGCTTTTGCTAGACCAAAATCTGAAAGCTTTGCGTTATATTCCTGCGAAAGAAATTCCATATTAATGATTCCATAAAACAAATGATATATCAGATAGGTTGATGTAATCACCTAAATTAACATCAACAACCAACATACCGAATCAAGTAAAATGTTGGATGTCTTAAAATCTCGATAAATGACTGGCTCTGGACCACCATGGAGAAAGGCCAATCCTTTTGCTGCCCCAAGTGCAATCTTAATCCTATTGGACCATGGAAGAGGTATCGTCCCTTTGCAAAATTAGCAACAAGGCAACATCAGTATTTCTTTCATGTGAACTTTTATAATTATGCAAGAATGCAAATTCCTGAAACTGTTTATCAGAAGTTACATAAGATGCATCAGATATTCAGGTGCGTCCAGAAAAATCATTGGTGTAAAATACAAAGATAAAAAATTATCAGCAGCACAGCGTTTACATTCAGTCTCTTATAAGTTTGCAGATAAAAAAGAATTGGTGATTTAGTAGCCATAAAAAAGATCTGATATTGTCACACACATTTTTTTCGTTTCTAGTCTTTTTTTTTAGGGTATTGTAAGCATCATCTTATGCCTATTGAGTATTTCATGAAGTTCATTGAAAAGTGTAGACTAGCTGCATCTCTTGTAAATTAACTACATTACATTTCTGGTTTTTTTTTTTATTGATGAGGTCTATTTTAAGACAGCAAAACATTTCATGAGGGTTCTAAGTTGGAAATAAGAAACAAATTTAAAAATTCCAAAGACTTTTTATACAAAATCAATTTATAATGCAACAATGCTGTTACAAGAATAAGAAAGAACATGGGAGGATGCTTATTTAGGGTAATGAAAGCAATGTTTTTGGCTAATAAATGAAACTTATTGTGATGCCTGTACCAAGTTCCCATAAGGGAGAGCCCCATCAATAAGAAGGTACAATAATAACTAACAGAGGAACCGTCCAAGAGGACCTCTCCAACAGAGGATTTTAACCTAAAATACCAAATTGGAGATAGAACAAATAAGAAGAACAAAAAACTAAACTGAGTTGGAAGGATAGAAGGAAAGAAAAAAGTGAGACTCACTCCTAAAAAGATGGTTTTCAAGACTTCCTCGAGTCATAAATTCATATACAAGCAGCCGTTGATCGTCTTCAATGCAGTAACCAATAAGTTTAACAAGATTAGGATGATGAAGCTGTCCAAGGACATCAACCTCAGCCTGCATAAAAAGAATCATCCAATGTTACACTCCCAAAATTCAGTAACTTACCAATAGTCTCTTCAACATTAAATCTACTAACCCAAAGCACATATTTTTCTACTAACCACCCATTCTCTATGGCCCTGAAGACCATCTGGCTTTAAACTCTTGACAGCGACTGTGATCCCTGAACCTGGTTTCGCTGGTGCTGTCCCATTTTCCTCTATCCACCCTTTGAAGACATAGCCAAAACCACCTTCCCCAAGAATGCTGTCAGGTCTAAAGTTCCCTGTCGCAGATTTTAGCTCCTGAAAAGAAAATTGGAGAAGCTGGCATGGAGATTTGTTATCTGATGGTGGTGGATCAGGGTTATCAGATGAAAGTTGAGCTTCATTTGGAGGGCACAGCTCTCTATTACTAGCATTTAGATATCTTGTCTCTGTAGCTGCAAACAGAGATTGAGAATTAGTTGTCTTCCTTGGATCATAATTCCATAACAGCTCAAAGAAGAAAATGAACTCCATTTCATTTAAGGTTGTGACTTAATAACAAGGAAAAGAGTGAAGACTGCAATTCCTTTCTCAGTAGAGAATCTTTCAACGAGGATCTTAATTAAAATGAATTATGCAAGCTAAAATCTTGATTGGAATATGGCAAATTGTCAGAAATCAAGTAGAATAAATCAATTCCCTTTCTTCGCCTGTAAAAAGACAGTGCCATGATTTGTAATGACCCAGTGAAAATGATATTAGCCGAGAATAGATAAAAAAACCCAGTCTCACATTCACTGCCCACTTTCAAAATCCCATTATGAAACTCATATGATCAAAAAGAAAAATCATCTTTTTTCAAGAATCAGAAGAAAGTTGCCCGTGAAGTACAGTAGCCTAACTGTATTCCATCCTGATATTGTTTATTGAACCCAAAATTTTGAAGCTTTCAAGAAAAAACAGATCAGAAATAAGAAAAGCAACGTTGGATTAGTATCAGAAATCAGCTGAAAAGAAAGAAACAGAGGAAGGAAGAAAACAAGCATTACGAAACATTAGAAACAGAGGAGACCAACAAGAAGAATAAATGGTCAGAAGAAAAAAAAAACATTAGTATTTTCCAAAACAAAAAGGCAAAAAAAAAAAAGCGGAAAGAGAAAGAGACATATAAAAAAAACAAAGAAAAAGAGGAAAGAAGATTACCAGCATCGTAAACAAGACTAGTACGAGGAATTGTGTTAGCAGAGTCACGAGACACAGAGGACTTGCAAACGCCGCGTTTTAAGACAGCCCAACAGCCACAGTTGTTGTCATCCATGGAGAACGAGGATGGGTTTGCAGAGAAGTGGTTAGTCAGTTAAACTACAGTATATGATTTATCGGATGTTATGATAATTGCATAAGAAGAAGAAGAAGAGGAGGAAGAGATTGGCCATGGGTAGTAAAGAATGAGAGAAGAGAAGAAGAAGAAGAAGAAGAGAGAGTTGATTATAGTTAAAGAGGGGAGGGAGAGAAAGAGAAAGGATTGTAGTTATTAGTGTTGGTGTTGTTGTTGCTGTTGGAGATTGCAGGCATCATCATCACCATCATCGCAGTAGTGTGTACAAAAAGAACTTTTTTCCCACCACCTTTTTTTGTGGGGATGGCATTTGCCTCCCCCCACCTCTACCCTTTCTCTCTCTTTTCATTCTTATTTTGCTTTTTTTGAAAAAGAAAAAATTATTTACACGTGGCAACATTACCAAAAGAATGGTACCCATATTTATTTATAAAATATAACAAAATTATGGCCAATAAGAAAGATTAACAAACAAAAGAAAAAGGGTATATAAAAACTTGGGAGAATGTCTAATTAAGCTTTGTGTTTTTTCTTGGCTTGATAGAAAAGTTGCTCAAGCTTTCAAGTGTAAGCTTATTGCTTCGCAAATAAAATAAAACAAGAGGAAGAAATTTCGATTAATAGAAAATGATAGGAATAATTTGGTTGGCTTATTGGTGTTATGTTGAGTCATACAAAGTTGTTAATCCTCATGAATCATGACATTAACACATGCATTCAAGGCATAGAAAGGATGAGGGAAAGGGATGAGAGGGATGTTTTTGTATTTGGAGGTTGAAGAAAGAAACCAAACCAAATAAAGCCCTTTGTTATTTTCAATTTTTTGGTAGTATCAATCATAATCTAGACCTTGAAAAATACAAAACAAGCAACATTTTGCAAACAATTGACATAGACTAGTAGTAGGCCAGCAACTCATTTGTTTTTCCTTTATTAGGACTGAATTGGAAGCAAATATCTCCCTCACTCTCTTCACCACTTACATGATCCAATTCCCCAATGCATAACACCCACATTGGAATTATATCTAAGCCCACTATTTACTTGATTGCGAAATGGAATGAAAATGATAGTCCAAAAAGAATCATTTTGGTGGGAAAAAAAACCTTAATTAAATTTAAACTTATTGAATAAAACAATGGAGGTTTTAAACATAATCTTTTATATCTTAGAAGATAAGTGCAAAATCTAATAAAATATCTTAGGATATATATATATATGTGTATAAATCATATGTTTTAATAGATAAACTCATTGAAACCTATTCTTTAATGGGTGTGACCTAAAAATTTTAGTGTGCATAAAGTCAAATATCTTTTTGTGTTTTGAATTAAGTCAAATATAGCTTTAATGGGTTTTATTGTGTTATATTTAAGTAGGTTTATCACTGTTCAAAAAAACAATATTTAAGTAGGTTTATCAGAACTTGATATATCTTATGAACATTAAAGATATTAAGTAAAAGTTAGGTATAATTATAATTTTATAAATATGTGATATTAAAATTTAAAGGGTAGTTAATATGCAAGCTTTTGGAGGGAAATGATGTAGGTGGAAACAGTAGATAACTAAACATCCATTTCCCCAGTGTAAATGAGTCTTGCTTTAGGTAATGGAGTTTTTCACTTTCTTCAATGTCTGTCTCTTTCTTACCCACATCCAAGTTAATCTAGCACCCTGGCACCTAATCTTTAGCTGCCTAAAGAAAAAATCTTTTGCCCACATGGAGTTTTGTAACATGTTAGATCTTATGCCCAAAAAGGTTTCCTAATCAAGGGGGGGTCAAAATTAAGTTTTTTCCACTAATTAAACAATTCTTGGTCTGTATTATTGTCTGGTCAAAACTAATGGAAAGATAGTCAAGAGCATATTTGAGTGCAATCCCATCATCCACTCTCTCTTTCTATGAGCTAAATGGATATATTCGTATACGTAGAGAGGGCAAATGGGATGGGAGGTTCCTTATAGGTGCCCTTCCTTCTATTGAAAATAGTTTTGGGTGTTTTTTTTTTCTTTTTTCTTTTTTTAAAGCGGGATTTGATAGGCAGAGAAGGGGAGAGAAGGGTGCTTGGTGAGAGGTCATTTCATCAACAACCAATACAAACAAAATGGTATTCTATGATGCTTTGGGTGAAGAAAAGCAAATGTGAGATAATATGCAATGAAATGAGATCCCTATTCCCTCCTCTTTTTTTTTTCCTCTCTTGGACTGTGCTTTGCAACTTGACAAGGTCCCCTTGTTGGAAAGGGGGTGATACCCATTGCCCCCACTCAGCGTGTGGGTCCACCCCCCTTCCCCCAAATCTTGGACCCCACCACCACACCTAGGCTGAGAGTAGTTTTGAAAGACTGGCCAGTGTAGCCCACCCAAGGTCATCATATTGGGCAAACAAGATATCCTATTTTGGGAGGTATAAAGTTGCAGAGTCATATAATTGGTGTAAGAGAAAGCTCACAGATGTGTAAGATTTTAAGAGAGATTCTGCAATTAATTCGGATTGATGTTTTCTCCAACTCTTTTTAACACACCAGGATTTCATCATAAGTATAGCATGCACTTCTATCAAAATGTATTTTAAGGATCAACCTGCTAAACTTGTCAGATTACTAAGTTTTGGGCATCATCTTCCAGGGCCCAACAGATCATCAGGCTCCGCATATTGATCAATATCACAAGCAACAATTGGAGGGGTCGAGTTGGATTGAATATGATCAAATTATTTGGGATCAACTTTGAGATTTCAATTATTTTGAGTTGAGTCACTTCACATTGAAGTTATTATTTTTTTTAAAATTAAATTTAAATAAATTATTAAAATTTGAGTCATTTTATATTTAAATTTTCATACATTGAATTGTTGAGGGTTTTTTTTAAGTTGAATCAAATTTAAACGAGTTGACTCGAATCTTGCAATCGGTGAATCAAAATATCTAACCTTACAGATTGAAGCTGCAACTGCTTGGCATAAAAAAGAATACTCTCTGTTTTTTCTTTTGTTTTCTGATAAATAACCCAGCAGGTGAACCACTTGTGCAGCATGGCTCCTTGTTAGGTGTCATCATCATGATGGTTTGAACAATTTACCTTATGAGCTCTCATTGGTGGGGAGATTGATAGAAAGAAGGGAGGAAAAGAAAATCCCATTGATTGATGTGAAGATGCTTCTTGACCAGGCTGCACATCTCTTTGAAACTTGGTTTCAACTTTGAATTGTTGCCAACTCAATCAAGTAGATCCTGGGAAGTACCTTTCCTCCTGTTTTTAGCTGCTACCATATCAGTATATGACTTTAAAATCGTGTAATTGGTGAAGAAAAGATTGGAATTTAGAGCGCCACCAAGCAATGGACAAAAGCATGGGAATGAAAATTTTTAAGACAGAAAACAGAATCACCAACATTCCATGCTTTCTTACCAAGAAAATCCAGGCATCATTGCCTATAGTTATCAAGTGCAATTATTTTCAATAAAAAATTATTTTAAAATTTAAATCAGGTTCACTACATATTATTTCTCAAAACAAAAAAAACACTGAAAATTAATTATATGATGATTTATTATTGTATAGGTTATTTACGTTAGTATTTTCTTCTCCCTTTGCTCCTTTTCTGGGGAAGGCCTAGCGTATTCTAAGATTGGGCCAGTGAACTTCACATTAAAATGGCCTGTATTTGTTTCTGGACCTATCTAGGCCTATAGTACAATTTGGGCTTTCTATTGAGATATTGAGGCCCATAAATAATGGAAAATGAGAAAAACAAAAAGGAAAATACATTATACTGTTATTTAATACCGCTAAGACTATTCTTTAACCTGAAATATACTTTTAACTAGAAAAAAGTAAAGAATAATACGGTGGCTCTGAGGAAAAGCTCATGGTGAAATACTGAATACGCGGCTTCAAGTTAAATATGTCGAAACCCAATGGCAATAAACCACGTGTCCAGTTCCAAATACCTAACTCCTTACGTGTGTAATTTTAAGTGGTGCGTTCTCCAACCATCGTTGTAGCCGGATCATCATCCCCCCATCCAACCAAAATTTTCCAATTTTCTGATTTTCCTCCTAGCTGCTGCCCTGCCTCCTTCTCCAGCCATGATAACCAACAACAACTACAAAAATAAAAAACAAAAAGAGAACAAGATTCAACTTCTTCCTCAAATGCTACAGCAACAAAAGCAATTCCTCTCTATCCAATTTCTATCGATAGAGAGAAATCATAAATCCTAGTTTTATGAATTCCTTGTTTTGAGAAATTCCGAGATCGACCGTTGGATCGGAGTTGTTGAGATTGAATTTTGATATAATTTAAAAGGGAGAGGGGATTGGGAAGAAAAAAAAAAAAAGAAGGCCAAAACAGCAGGCAATTTGGCTGAAACATGTCTGCCATAGTTTCAGGGAAGAGATCTTTCTTTGAGGAATTGAGTGCAACACCTCCCGTTTCCAAGAGAATCCGTTGCTCTTCTCGTTTTGCTTCTTCTTCTTTCTCTCCTTCTTCTTCTTCGCCGCCGTCGTCGCCTTCCTCCTCGTTTCTGATCGATCAGTTGGTTGCTATTTTCCCTGAAATGGACAAGCAGGTACCATTTTTTATAAATAAATATTATTTTTTGTTTAATTTTTTATTTCTGGAAAATTATTTTCATTAATTATTTATTACATGAATTCTTCATTTTTTTTCTCTTGCTTTTTTTTTTAATTTAATTTTTAGTGGCTTTATTTCATTAGAATGGAATATTTGAAGCGATAACTTGTTTCTTTTATGGTCAAAGAGTTTGGAGCTGAATGTTAGTCGCATTAGAATTGGAATTTGAGTAAACTTTTGAGAATTTTTTCCGTGAATTTTCTGAATTAATTTCATTTTAATCCAATTCCAGATTTTAAGATCAAATTCCGTGTTATCAAATGTAACGTGACATTATATCGATCGAAAAATGGAATCATATGATATAAATGAAGTTGACTTAAGGATTACATTTTTATTTTATTTTAGGTTCTTGAGAGAGCACTTGAAGAATGTGGAGATGATTTGGATTCAGCTATTAGAAGTTTGAATGAGCTTCGTTTAGGATCTGCTGATAGAAATGCAGCTCCTGCTGCGGATAAAACTGGTGCAGCATTAGAAGGAAATGTTCAACATCAAGCGCAAGGTATGATAAGAAAATCCTTTTGGTTCAACGTTGATTACTCAAGATTGATGATGTCCCTTGCAATTGACCGAGATCTTCACCTTTTGTTGTGCATCTCTCTCTGGATTCAAATGTGAGATTTTAGATTGTAAGACCGTATCTGCTTCATGTTTTAACTTTTAGAAGTTTGTAGTTGATTTTTTGTGACTATGAGGCAAAGAAGGTTTAGCTTACCCTATTTCTTGGGAATAGTTCAGAAGACCAAATGAAAAATTGGTAGTCATCCAACAACCCAAAAGTTTGTTGTTTGATCTAATGTAACATGTTTTAAATGAGTGGTTTTGCTTTTGATAGTGTCTATGACCATGAGAGTGCTGCTAGGATACCCTGACCTTAAGAAAGGGTAACGTGCAAGGTGCAAATCACCATGAAACCCCAAGGGTTGGGGTCAGTTATCAGTAGATGTGCCTCCCATGCCCCTCTCCCTTTTCTCAAAATCAACAAACAAATTGAAGAAACCAGAAACTGACACAAATACACCTGACACAAAAAGTAAAGCTTTCTTGGCAATTTGATCTGTGAATATTGCTATTAACATTACAGTTTATGTTATTGCTTGCACCTTTTATGTTATTTAGCTAGCCTAACAGTTTCCATGGATGAGATGCAATTAAAACTAGAATTATGAGTTACATATATTTACTGAATTACCTTTTAGATATTTGGCATCAGTAGTTGGTTAGTGAGAAGAGCTTTGTTCTGTTCTAGGTGTCGCAACAGCTAATGGAGATGTTCCAACAAAGGAACAGACAGCCCCAGAAGTCTTATCACTGGATGGTTCAGATTGGGTGGGGCTTTTTGTTAGAGAAATGTTGAATGCCTCTAACATTGATGATGCCAGAGCTCGTGCCTCAAGAGCATTGGAGGTTTTGGAGAAGTCCATTCGGGTACGTGCTGGAGCAGAGGTGGCCCAAAATTTTCACCAGGTTGGTTATCATGGTTGTTACTGTTACTAATGCTTGTCTACTCTCCATTCCTACTACACACCACATCCACATTTTTTGTTGGGTATCGGAGAGGCAAACAAGGAAAGGGTTGTTTTGAGGATGCTGAAATTGTTGCTTGGGTTTTTATAGGAAAATAGGATGCTGAAAGAACAACTGGAAGCACTTATTCAGGAAAATACTATTCTCAAGCGAGCTGTTGCTGTTCAGCATGAGCGTCAGAAAGAGTATGAAGATCAGAGCCAGGAGTTGCAGCATCTAAAGCAACTAGTATCTCAATATCAGGAACAGCTAAGAACCCTTGAGGTTGGCCTCATGAACTCAACTTTTGATGCACACAGGGGAGATATACACGGACTGTGCTTATGCATATATGACCTGTGTGGCTACATCCATCTTATTTTTTATTGCTACGTGTTTAATTGCACTGCTTTCAATTTTCCAGAATCTGATGAAAATTGTTTGATTATCTGATGCCCCAACAGGTAAACAACTATGCATTGACAATGCACTTAAAGCAAGCACAACAAAGCAGCTCTATCCCAGGCCATTTCAACCCTGATGTTTTCTAGTAATTCTTGGATATAGCTAAACAATCTTTAGCCACTTAAAGTTTGTAATCTGCTTCAATTAGTGTGCTGCCATCCAGTGGTGTTCTTTTTTTCTCTTGCTTTAGAGAAGAGGAGGCTGCAGTCAAAACCTATGCCTCGATTTTTTAACAAAGACATGTATGGTAGTTTGTCTTCCTAAGTATTTACTTGAAGTGAATATCTGATAGTCAAAAAATGTTGTAAGGTTTTACATCCACAGACATGAACCTTTTATTTGTATCCACTTGTATGGTATAGAAGAAGATTGAAGTCCGCATTTCATCCTTATGGCCATGCTTATTAAGCCACAAGAAGAGTGCCTTTGTACGATGACTTGGAAACTATGTTTTCTTACTGCCATTAACAAGTAGGGAAGAAGAGGAGAAACTTTGCTTCCAGCGATGCCATCAGATGCCTCTATGTTGTTTTGACTCTCTTCGGCATACTTAAGTTCCAATATAATGATGAACGCCATATGCAATCATAGATAGCGAGTATCCTTGCTACATGTTTCCCTTACAGACTAGGGTTAGCTCGGAAATCAGCAGCCTTAATTTTTCAAATACTGTTTAAGGTGGTAGAATTACAGAATTTTTATGATTTCTATAATGTTTCTCACCTTCCATTAAACTAGAATTCGCTTTTACTAAATAAGAGATAAAAGCAGAAAAGCATAGTCAAAAGGCAGCAACTTTTTGTTGTTGAGACATATTTTTCTGTTCCAGTATCCAAATTTAGATAATTTTGTACGAAAAAGAAAAGAAAAGAAAGAAATCAAGAAATTCCCAGGGCATGAGGTCCCAGCTGGGACGCTTTCCAACCTTCCTGCGGGGAACAACGAAGCAGGCGAGCGCCCGGATAAAAATCACTTGTTTATTTCCACAGCCAGCCAATGGTTGCATCCACATGTGGGGCTGCTCAGACTTGTGTTTTCCAGACACGCGAGGTCCTTGTTCGCCCCACCGACTCACGCTGCCCCTGCTTTGCTTTTCATCATGAACGCCAGCCTTTGGCCTTCGATTAATTTTCTCCAATGCAAACTGGGAAATGATTACGTTCAATTCCATTCATCCAAATTTTCCATAACATGTTCTTTTGGTCAAGGAGAGAGAGGATGTGTTACGAATTGGGATATATTAGAAGTGAAAAAAAAAAAACTGAAGCAGTTCTTAAAGCGTCAATATTTTGAATGACAGGCGTTGAGGGATGAGAAAAGATAAAAAAGAACGACGAACAACGGTGAATGAGAAAACTGAATAAAAAGATAATGTGGAGTAGTCTTGAGAGAGCTTTTTAGTATAATCTCTATTAGTTTCTAATAATTTCTCACTCCTCTCTCCAATCTTTAAAGTTACCATATTTATATTAAATAGGAATACTTTTTTAGAAATTGTTAACAAAGCACATTTAAGAGAACGTCCTTGTTAAGAAAGAATAGTGGGGAAGTAGGCATAAGTTTTAGATAAATGGAATAATAGTATTTAATGTTGTGTCACATATATTTTTAAAGCAATAACAAAAGAAAAAAAGATAAAGCACATGAATTTTAAAGAAAGATTAAGAGAGAGTCCTTTTAATTATCTACATATCTAAACCTCTAAGTTAAACTCTTTAAAACACCTCAAATGTGAAAGTAATTCATAAATTCTGTCGCTTATTCTAAATTACTTTCACTTTCTCGTACAAATAGCTGTTCCATACTTATTTTTGGGTGTTTCTGTGCTTAGACGTTTCTATGCTTAGAATACCCGTGACGCTTCTGGACTTGAAATGCCCTTGGGTGCTTTTAAGCTTGAAATGCTTGCCCTTGGGTGCTTTTAAGCTTGAAATGCTCATAAGCGCTTCTGTATTAGTAACACCTCTGATTATTTCTATGCTTGAAACATCCCTAGACGCTTCTAAGCTTGAAACACTTGAGTGCTTCTATTCTTGGAATGCTTTTTGATGTTTCTATGTTTAGAACACCTTCGAGTGTTTCTGTAGTTAGAACACCTTAAGTGCTTCTAGTTTAGAATATCCCTGAGTACTTCCATACTTAAACCACTCTAAACATACTTCTACACTTAAAATATCTTTGATATAATTTTCCTGTATAACCAGAATTGGGCATCTACAATATCCTAACCAAGATGAAACATTTGGAAAAGAGAAACAGATTATGAGGGATTTCGAGATTCATTCACTACAAGACGTTTCATTAGTTTAGACCAAATTAAAAGAAAAACAGCAAATTTTCTTGCTTCCTATGGTATAGGAATCGGTGAAATATTAAATGTTGTGTTGTAGAAATTAAGCAACATCAACTGCTAATAATCCATCTAGATTCTACAGTCACGGCTGCATATGATTGGGGGCCCTTTACAAATATAAATTTCGCCAGCATTAAGTTTCCAAACTATATGTACAGTACATTAAAACACAGAGACCTAAAATCTGAACTAGTACGGAAGTTCTTCAACGTACGGTTACAAATAGCAGATGGCAATTTAAGGTTGTTGGTGAAAGCGTGTGAAGACTGTATTGTGTTCCAAAAGGATTAAATGACAAAAACAAAATGAAAAAGGTCCAACATAGATACATCGACTGTAGATAGTCGTCCACCAGGTAAGATTGAAATGGATCCAGAGCTGAAGTGTTTGGTGAGAGCAGGGTAGAGAGGAACAAGCACGTCAGGTTATAAGTCGCCGTCGTCTCTACATAAATTGTGAGTTTGAGCAGGAGAAAGAGAGATCAGAAGCCTTACTTCTAGCTTTAAGCTTGAAGCTTGGAGTAGTTAATTAATTAGCAGAGGAGTTTAGAAGGCTGATACTGAGACTAGCCCGCCTCCACTTTTCATCATCCTCTTGAATTCGTCGAAACTAACCATGCCATCTCCATCCATGTCAACTTTCCTGATCATTGCTTTGCAATCCTCCATCTTGTTCCCTTCCTTCAACCCCAAAGAACTCAGCACAGAACCCAATTCTTCAACTGAAATCAACCCATCTTTATCTTTGTCAAACACATCGAAAGCTTCCTTCAATTCTCCTTCTCCATCGCCTTCCTCATAAACTCCATTCCCATCTTCTCCTCTTCTCGCACCTTCCGGATGACCATGACCACCCATGGCCTGACATAAGATGCAAAACTCATCGAAATCGATCAACCCATCTCCATTAGCATCCACTTTCACTACCATTTCTTCCACCTCTTTCTCTGTAATGAACAGCCTCATGTTCTTGAGTGATTCCCCTAGTTCTTGCTTTGTTATGAACCCATCACCATTCTTGTCAAAGGTGGCGAAAACCCTTTTCAGCTCTACCTTCTCTGAATCACTTCTTTCCTTGACTGAAATCACCTGAGGAGCAGCAGCAGTCTTAGAGGAGACAGCTGATGAAGAGCTGTTGGGGAAGAAAGAGAGAAGCCATGCACAAAACTTCTTGGAAGAAAAATAAAAGTAAACATTAACAAAGCCAGCTATAAAAAGAACCGCTAGTAACAGTATGGATGTCACCATATTTTTTGTAGTCAATAAAATAGAACCAAGAAGAAGAAGATAAAACAGCAGCTATCTAGCTACAAAGACGAAGAAACAGAAAGCTGGGTTCATCTATATTTGAGGTTTCCAAGTGCTTAAGAAACAAGCCCCCTTTTTCTCCTTTTTAGGCTAGAAAAAAAAAAAAAAGAAAAGGTATAAGATTACAAGGAACAAGAAATGAGAAAACGCGGAGTTTGGTGCACCTTCGATCCCACAAACCGCGTGAAGTGTAATAACTGAAGAGAAAATGCGAGGGATGTGACATAATGACTAAAGAAATCCATGCACTTGGCATTACTTACTGAAAGGACACTTTTCAAACCTGTAGTTTTTACTCTTAACTCATATATCTTTAGCATTTTGTTCTTTTCTCGCTACAATTAGTAATGATTATATATATAAATAAATAAATAAATATATATATATATATATATATATATCTCCATGATCAACTCGTACAACCAACCGTACTTCTTCTACAAGGAGAGGTGCTTGACTATTTGATTAAATGTTTGTTATTTTTGAGGACCAAACATTTCTTAAAATATACTTTTTCTATCCCTATTCTTTTTATGTTCCAAACTTATATTCTTCTTTGTTTTTTTTTTAACATCTAAAACTCTCCCCTTTTTTTCATTTATTAAATTTTAATGTTAAAGATGCACTAAAATTAATTTTTTTTCTTCTTAAATTACGTGGAAAAAAATTTGAGAAGGAATGAATATTTATAATGGAAATAATATTTTACATTTGATTAGACTCGTAGCATTATTTTTACAAAAAAAAAAAACATTTTCGATAATGTGTTCTTTGTGTATAAAATTTTGAAAACTACACTCTAGTAAAAAAGTGCCTTAATAATCCAATTATGTACAAATAAATAGTATCATAAATTCGATCTAAAAGTTAAGAATGCTTTGACTTACCTCTTAGCTGGATTTTCCTATTAATTATAATTAATTTGAACATATACTTTTGACTTATACAACAAGAGGTAATTTTTTATAATTTCTCTCATTTCAAAATTCTAATATAAAATCTCTAATTGCTAGGATCATTTATTTTAAGGAAGCTTATTAATTATACTTTGTTTTGCGATCAATGAAGTGTTATGTTACCATAACAGCCCACCATATCAAGTATGATGGCACTTGTCCGCCCACATTTCATTTCTCTTCTTGTTTCCTTGTTTTTTTTTTTTTTTGGGAGTGACTTCTTGTTTCCTTGTTATTAATTAACATTTCTAATATTTTAATGAAAAATAATACTTAATTATTTTTATAAAATTATAAATATGAATAAAAATTATAATTATAATTAAGTATTACATCCTATATGACAATTACTAAACTGACAAATCTAACTTGAAAACTATATGCATAAATCATCAATAAATTCAACGTAAAATTATATCAAATTCACATTTAATGAAATTTGCACTTAAATTTTGGGGAATTCCAAATTAATAAAAAAATTCTGATTTTTTTATTTTTGTGTAGCAATTTATTTATTATTAATGAGTTTGTGTGGACATCATTCAAGAATAAAAGGAAAGAGGCTTTAAGGCCACCAAATCCATATCCTGAAGGAAAAGATGTTTTCGAAGAGTAGAGTTTTCCTTGGTATTTGTGTTTTCTAAGAAACCGAAAACTCTCTCCATATGAGGTCCGCTCTCCCTTGGCAAGGTGGGAATCTCCACGGACTTCCACATCAAACTTCGATGCAACGCTTTCAATTAAAAGACAACAATAACTAGAAGCCACGACAATCATCTCTGAACAAAACTACAAAACCGAACAACTCCAATTCAGGACCACTTCTGTTTTGCTTATTATAATCTGTGTTTATTGCATATTGGATTTTCCAAAGCTTTGGCTTCGAGAAACGTAAATGCAATATACTTGTAATTTCCCATGATAATGAACCACTTTTCCCTATTATATTACGCATCGTACGTAACCAAACACTGTTGACTTTTTCCCAACATTTCCTAATGCAGTTTTATGCAGTGGACGTTGCGACGTTTGTCTTTTGCAGCATCGGATGCCTCGCCTTTATTGGCTAAGTGCCTAAAGATTCTGTGTGTGTGTGTGTGTGTGTCTCTCTCTCGCCTTATCTCTTACTCGACAATATTAGGTTTAAAAACCTTAAGCATCTAGTGGATTAGAAAAAGAGAATACGTAATTAATTATTCTAATAAAGTACTGTAATCTTAACAATTCTTTTAGGTTCTAATTTTCTTTAATGCGTTCTTTTGATGACAAATAATCTTCGTCTCATCAATTGTATATAATCATTATTCATATCTTAATATGTAGTAATAATTAAGCTCTAAACATGGTCCCAATACCCTTTTACTAGCTAGTTGTCAATTTTCATTCTTACATGTTTAGTGGTTAAGGGTTGAAACATCAAAATTGAAGATGTGAGTTTACTTTGAAAGGAGAAGAAAGTGACGTTGCTCATAACTTTTGTTTGTTGAAATATATATAGTAGCATGAAATTAACGATTATTAACTGAAGGACGACGGTTTAAATATATGTGAGAGATCCAAATTACCAATAACATCAAATTTAATGCCAAAATAAATTATTTCTATTTTGTATGGAGTTTACAAGTCTAGTTGTCTGTATCTGTATCACAATCTGCCGATGTTGGCCCTACAATTTGGCTAGTTACCTTGAAATCTAAGGGAAGAAACTATGAGAAGAAGAAGATTTGAAAAGCATGTCAAGGATGTTAACATGCTATTAGCTTTAATTGAATGTCCAGGTGGCTAAAGTACACCATGGAGCCTTTTCGGCCCAAAGGAAACCACAAGTCAATAAAAAGTTTGACTCTGATGATGAGTGAATAGATACAGCCCTGGTTGATGTTGAGCAGTTTGGGCCAAATTTGGGCCTCGACTAAGCGTCCTTCTTCATAAGTCATAACTCCATCAGCAACTATTTAAGATATATGATACTTGCCAAAGTGATTATGAAACCATTTTTTCCTCAAGCATAGATCTGGCCAAAAGGAAAACCCTAGGGAAGTACATGGCTTAGTTTTGAATGGGGCAAGAGCATACTTCTCTTCCTTGTTTCCAAGATTTGGAGGCAGACATCATCTCTTTGATTGCCCACATTTTTTCTGAAACGTTACATTTCCACTTATAGGCTAGACAGGATTTTTGCCAAGTTAGCCCAATGGAAAAGTTCAATCTTCCCTTTCCCTTCATCCAGACCTTTTTCCTCCTCTTGAGCCATAGGAAGCCCATAGTCCAAAGACAATGCATACATGCTATGGCGAAAGCCCAAACTCCATTAAGATTTCAAACGTGTGGCAATTGATAAACAATTTAAGAAAGCCGAAAGAGGAAAAAGAAAAAAAGAGCTAAACATGTGACACATTTCATCCACTGTTACTAGACGTGAACACATCACTTTAAGTCAAACAAAAACATTGATTCATTTCTTAAAATATTTATAATCTTGTTTTTATGTTTCACAGGGTGACAAAATTGTCAATCGCGTATAGTGTATTTTTGGAATTTGTCTAGGACCATCATTGTGAACATTGCTTCTTTGACTTAAAATACCGAATTTTTCCACTGCTTAGCTTCACTTTGCCTTCGGCCTTATCCCTAGTGAGCTTAGGACATTGAAGCCTAAGAAGCTCCAAATCAGCAGTCAATGATTATCGGCCTCAGCACAGTTGGAAACCTAATGGCCAATCACACTCAAAAGTTTCAAACTATCTGTTGTCTTACAGCTTACACTTGATAAGTGGGTGTATGTTTCTTATTTTGATTAAAATTTTTATAAGATAATATTTTTTAGATTATAAAAATTTATTAATTAATTGAGATATTATATAATTAATAAATTATTAATTTATATATTAATTAATAAAAAATAATTTGTTAAAGTATTTTTTTAAAAAAAATATTAAACTTAAGACATGAATACATTGTGTATTGTGATTATATAAATATTATCAAATTATTGAATTACGAACTATCAAAATACTATATCAAAACTTCTTTAATTTATAAAAGTTTTACTGTAAAATTAATTTTTTTTATTTTTACTTAAGTAATAATAGTTTGATTATGTTGAGATAAGTCTATGCAATTAGGATGATTTCCTTTCACATTGCAGGCACAAAGAAATGGGAGAATCTTTGGAAATCTTAACAAGAACCCAATCATGCAAAATTTTACAACGTTGGACAAAATTGCATGCGGTGCTCCATTTGCCTAGGATCGAAAAAAGAAAAGAAAAGAAAATAGAGATCCAAATTTTCATGCTAGACCCACAAGGACCCAAATATTTCAGTATAAAAACAACAATTAGAGGGAAAGGAAAGGAAAATCATAACAGAGCTGGATGCATGTGATGGATCATAAATTCATTATTGAGGATTGGGCCCGTTTTGCAAGAGGGACTGTTGATAGGGGGCCCATGTTTTATATTTTCTTTTTATTTATTTTTTGAACTTTTGCAAAAAGATCCAGCAGCCGTAAGCGGGAAGAGGCCCGTCATTGTAAGAAATGAACAGGCTGTTAAGTGAGAGGACAGTGACCCACGAAGACGGATGAAGACAAGCTTTGCTATCTCTGTCAAAGCTCCGCCCCGTTTCTTCGTACGCCTTTATTCCGTCTTGCTTTCACATGCCTGATGCCCCCCATATTAACATTGCATTAGGATGGTCCCATTCGTGCTTTGTCTTTCATCCATGAAATTAAAATACACTTTGCGCTTTTCTTTTATACTCTTTTTTCAATTATTGGCAAAACTGCTGAAAGGTATGCCAATTTTGAATTATTGTCATTTAAACGTGAAAACTAGAACCAATATTATAAAGATTTTGAAATATATATATATATATATATATATGAAGAATCGGTCTAATTTTATCTTTATTTGTTCTTGTTGTGAGATGTTTTCCGACCTCCTAACAACCAGCCGACCAATATCCAATCTCCCGGAAGCAGGATGTCCAAGAAAAGCCTATCAAGGGTTGGCAAAGGCTCAATGGGTGTCAGTCCTTCCCCATTTCAATACGGCGTTCCCACCGCGATTCCAAATAATCATTAGAGAAAAGTCCTTTTAATCCCTTATAAAAAAGAAGTTTCTTTGAAACAATCTCTAATTGATGAAA